ATCAGCATAAAAAAACAGGTTATCCTGGTGCGGTTTTGGCACATTCACATGTCAGGTCCAGGGTATATTATGTATTAAAGTATCTGCATGAACAGGAGCTAGTTTGGGTCTGTGGGTGGTGGTGCTTGAGGGGAAATATCCCAGGATGCAATGGCTGGGAATTAATGGTCAGTGAGAACAGTGGGGACCTGAAAGAGCTGAATCATATCAGCTGGAGGGCTCTGGAAACATGTGGCTCACAGGTGCCTAGTATCCTGCTCTAACCTGTTTTTTAATCTTTTATATAGTGTTATCCAACTTGCAAAACTTCCTGATCTCCCACATATAAACAGCAAGCCAGTATGGGGAAAGGTGTTCTTCACTTCTTAACTCTCCTTTGAAGATTAGCGTTTTCCACATCACAGGGTTTATATATCCCCTCCCCTCAATTGTTTTTGCTATTCTCAAATTAATAAGTGACTCTGCCTTGTTTGGGGGGTTTATGTGCTAACCTATTCATAGCTCAGGTGTTATGACTGTTTCATTTTTAATATTATCACTACCCCAGTCGGGCATGGTGGCATACTGCTGTAGTCCCAGCTACTAGGGAAGAAGAGGCAGGAGAGTCACTTGAGCCCAGGAGTTTGGGGCCCGTCTGGGTAACAAAGTGAGCCTCGCCCCGCCATTTCTTAAAAAAAAAGCAAAAAGCAAAAAACAAAAACAAACCCGGTAGGCAAAAAATCTGTTGGTTGGTATCTCAAAGACAATCTAATCTCTCCAAGTTTGAGTCTTGCTTGGCTTCCTTTCCTGTTAGCTTTATGTACTGTGGATAGTATTTATTATAGAATTTATGCTGTCTACTTTTTGAGTAGTAGTGATTTTAACTACCTTGGTTAAGGGTTTCCAAATCTTAGAATTGTTTGTTTTGTTTTTTCTAATCTATTCAATTCTCTTAAAGCTGTTAGTAAAAACAATAATTCCTGTCTTCAAGGAAATTCATGTCTTCAAGGTTAATTCTAAATTTGTTTACCTGGTACTTGACTTTTAATATATAATATTTAAGCACTGGGAAAAGCTAATATATATTTACTAGCTATATAATTAAGGAGAAGTTTAACTGTGCCTCAATTTCTTCAAAGTAAGATTATTAACTATTTCATGGAGAAATGTATCCAGATTAACTGAGTTCATAGTCTTTCATGTTGATTGTACTCAAATGTTAACTATTATTAATTTGATACAATAAAGATTTGAAAAACATTAAAAAGCAGACATTATGTTCATTTAAATCTGAGTTATCATTTCTGAGGTTTTATAAAAGTAAGAGTATTACCTGCTAGTGCTTCTTAGTCACTGTGGTTGGAGACAGCACAGCTGTTCCTAAGTTCTGGGTACCAAGAATGACCAGGACTGACTTTGAGATTACACCAAATGCTTGGTTCTGGCTTTATTCAGTAGAATCTAAATACTATACCAGTAATAAATCTAGTTGTAGCTTGATATACTTAGTTTTCAGTTCTTGCATTTCACATGATATGTAGAAGACTGGCAACAAATGCTTGTTTCCTACTGGTTTATCAATTAGCTTCAATTTTAAATTATAATTTTGATAAATGAAAACAATCCTGATCATTTAAAAGTAACAATAATCTGTGGGTGGTAAGTTATTCATCTACTTCTCTATTGAAAAGCTATAAATTAAAGGGCTCCTTCTGTGTTGTTTTCCAGTAAAAATGTTAAAATTGACAATTACAAAGTTATGCAATAAATGAATACAGTGTAAAGGTTCAATGCACTCTTTACATGTATTGCAACACAAGAGGTGAGTTCCAGATGACCCACTTAAAGTTTATGGCTCTGGGGTTGATGAGGATATAGCTCAGAGGGAAAACATGCTTGGCGTGCATGAGGCCCTGGGTCCAATCCCCAACAGCAAAAATAAAAATTTTTAAATGTATGTCTTTAATGCATTAGGTAGTTTCAGTGCCCTTTAGGAACTTGTTTTGATCTTACACATTCTATTCTGTTAAAGTAGGAAGGCAATTTCAAGTAGCAGTTTCTGTATAAGTCTCCTTATTCTTTACAGTCGTACTAATGTACATTGTTTTCCTTTTTAGACTGTGTTAGAGAGTAATAAATTTTCTACTTTTCTGCCAAGATATCCCAAACATAAAGGAAGTAATTTTTTTGTTGTTGTTGGTTTTTTTTTTTTTCCAATTCCGGGGATCAAACTCAGGAACTTGCACTTGCAAGGCACCACTGAGGTAAATCCCCAGCCCAAGGAATGGGGAATTAAATTAGGACTACTGAGCTAGGTAGGCATGGTGGTACATGCCTTTAATCCCAGCACTTCGGAGGCTGAGGCAGGAGGATCACTGTGAGTGTGAGACCAGCCTGGGCTACATAGTGATTTCAGGGCTAGCCTCAACTACGTAGCAAGAGCCTGTCTCAAAAACAAAAATAAGGACTAAATTTTCAGAAAGTCATTGAAAAGTGTAATACTTACTGTGTTACATAGAGACATACTGTGAAAACATACTGTGTTAGTGGAGGAGAGAAGAGAGAGCAATGATTAGCTACATTCATTTCCATTAGTTTACTAAAACCTAAGGTCCATTTTCTTTTGATATTTTTTTCCTTTTCTTCTCTGCGATTTTACCAAATAATCAGTTCATTAAAAATGAGGAAAAATAGGAAAAAATTTGAAAACTTGAGTTTGGCAAAGATCTTGCTTTGTATTTCCTCAACCTACCCTATCTTTCTTTTAGGTCACAAGGTCCTGTTAGGAACCAAATTGCTACTTTGCCCTGCTTATAGTACTTAAATCATAAGCCTGCATAATAGGAACCTTTAAAAATATTAGTTTATTCCTGCAGCTTGTGTATGTGTGCGTGTCCGACTGATAATGTTTCAAAGTCATATAGCTGATGAGTCAGCTCCAGGACTACCATATCTCTTTCAACAGAATGTCTGGCAGTTCGCGTAACTGCCAAGAATCTTTTCCATCTCTCCTATAGAGATGGGAGCTGTTGCATAGGGTTGCTCCTGAAGATCAGGTAACTTGAGTTCTTTGCCACAAGGTCCTACTTGGTCTGCTACTCATCTTGGTCCCTTCTTCACACCCTCAGTATCACTTCCTACTGCCAGCTGCCTCCCAGTGCCGCTGGCCCAGCTGGCCTCCTTCCCATTCTAGGGGGACAGAGCTCACTCCCTCCTGAGGGCTTTTGCTTTTTCTGTTCTCTGCCCAGATGTCTGCACAGCTTGCTTCCTGGTTTTGCTCTACTTCTTGCTCAGATTATAACCCTATCAGAGAAGTCTTTCCTGACATCCCATTTAAAATAAGATTCTCACTGAGCTTGGTGGTTCAGCCCTGGAATCCCAGCAACTGGCTGGCTGAGGCAGGAGGATTGAAGTGAGTTGGAGGCCAGCTTGGGCTTACATAATGAGTTCAAGGCCACCCTAAACTACATAGCAAGACCCTGCCTCAAAAAGGGAGAAGGAAGCATTCTCTTCCTCTCCCAGCTTTAATTTTTCTTTTTCGCACTGTTTGAACACACGTGTTATTTGTATCTGCCCAGAAAGTCTCCAAAGTCTGTGAGAACAGGAACTTTATTTTGTTCACTGTATTGCATCCTAGCATATGGAAAACATTCAGCATATAGTAGCTACTAATTTTTTTTGGTACCAGGAATCAAACTCAGGACCTTATGCTTGCAAGGCAGGTGTGGTGCCACTGAGCTAAATCCCCAGCCCAAAATCATCATCATCATCATCATCTCCTCCTCCTCCTCCTCCTCCTCCTCCTCCTTCTTCTTCCTCTTCCTCCTCTTCCTCATCTTTGTCGTCATCTTTTTCTTTTTTGTTGTCATTGTCAGCGGCGTCTTCATCGTTGTTGTCATCATCGTCATCTTCCTTTTTCTTCTTTCTTCTTTTTTTTTGTGGTACCAGGGATTGAACTCTTTTTTGGGTGGTTTTTTGAGACAGGGTCTTGCTCCATAGTGCAGACTGGCCTCAAATTCACAGCAATCCTCCTCCCTCAGCCTCCTGAGTGTTGGGATTACAGGCATTACCACCACACCTAGCAGTAGGTACTAGATTTTTAACAAGTTGTCATTAGTAACAATATTAATAAACTGCCCTCATAATTTCTCCTTATTAACAACTTTGGAAATTGCCATTTTGCTTAAGGATTTCTTAGATTTTATGGCAAATGAAATACTAATTCTCCGTGATCTTCCCCTCTTCTAGGTTTCAGTGTGGCCCAGAAGCCATTTGGAGCCACATATGTGTGGAGCAGCATCATAAACACTCTCCAAACACAAGTAGAGGTCAAAAGGCGAAGGCATCATTTAAAACAGCACAATGACTGCTTTGTGGGTTCCGAAGCTGTGGATGTGATTTATTCGCACTTAATTCAGAATAAGTACTTTGGTGATGTCGATATTCCTCGGGCCAAAGTGGTGAGAGTGTGTCAAGCACTTATGGACTACAAAGTATTTGAAGCAGTTCCAACCAGAGTCTTCGGAAAAGACAGAAAACCTACTTTTGAAGATAGTAGTTGCAGCCTGTATAGATTCACAACAATACCTAACCAAGACAGTCTATTAGGCAAAAAGAACAAACTGTATTCACCTTCTGGGTTAGTATAAAATGTTAGATTATTGTGGGGAGGTTGGTAGGATTGTCTATTTTTTTGAGACAGACTGGCTTTATATTCTAACTGCAAAGCGTGTGTGTATGTATATAGGGTACTGGGGACTGAACCTACGGGCTTCACACTGAGCAACATCCCCAGCCCTTTTTTTTTTTTTTTTCCAGTACTGGGAATTGAACTCAGAACCTTGTGCTTGCCAGGCAGGTGCAATGCCACTGAGCTAAATCCTTGGGCCCTCCCCAGCTCACCCTCCCCTTTTTTTTTTGGACTGGGGATCGAACTTGGGACCTTGTGCTTTGGAAGCATGCAGTGGAATCACTGAGCTAAATCCCAGACTCCACCCCCAGCCCTTTTAAAATGTTTGTTCATTTGTTCTTTCGTTCATTCTTTTTTTTTGAGACCTAGTCTTCCTATGTAGTTCAGGGTGGCCTTGAACTTACTATGGAGCCTAGGTGAGCCTTGAACTAGAGGTGATCCTCCTGCCTCAGCCTCCTGAGTGCTAGGATTACAAGTGTATACCACCAAGCCTAGATCCCTTTTTGAAAATTTTTAAATTTTGAGACAGAGACTTGCTAAGTTGTCCAGGCTGGGCTTGACCTTGTGATTCTCCCACCCCAACCTACCCCAGAGTGCTGGGATTACAAGTGAGCACCACTACACCCAGCTCAATATGTTACTTTTATAAATTATGCATTTGCCTAACATCTGGATCTGTAGGTAAATTTGATAAGGTACAATGAAATTTTGTTAACTTTTTTTTTTTTGGTACCGGGAATCGAACTCTAGTCCTTGCGCTTGTGAGACAGGCACCAGAACCACTGAGCTAAATCCCCAGCGAAATTTTGTTAACTTTATCAGATAGCTCATAGATTTATTTGTTCATATTTTATATTTAGCAGAAACAATCCAACTGATTTTCATCCCTCAAGTTACATACAGTGTAAAACCTCAGCACATACCTGTAATTCCCACCTGCTTGGAACTCTGAGGCAGGAGGACTGTAAGCTCCGGGCCAGCCTGGACAATTTAGCAAGACCAGAAAATTAGCAAATGTGCAAAGTGGTATGAAAACAGAGAGAAGGTGAAGACAAGAAGAAAGATAAGATTATAGGGTGTCACTGGAAGTGCAGAAGGAGTATGGGAGTTAGAAGGCTGAGGGCTTCATAGCACATATGAACAAATTAGGGGTTTTTATTGTTTTTGAGACAAGGTCTTGCTGTGTTGCCAAGGCTGGCCTTGAGCTCCTGGCTGTAAGTGATCCTCTCACCTCCTCCTCAGTAGCTGGGACCGAAGATGTGTACCACCATCCCTGCTTAGTCTGGGAGCTTGGACTTGATCCTACAGGTTTTGGAGACACCACAGAAAGGTGAGATTGTACCTTGGAGCAGTCACCCCAGGCTGGGGGTGTGCTCAGTGGCGAGTGCTTGCCTCACTTGAGTACGACCCTGGGTTCAGTCCTCGGCAGTGAGCCACGAAAAGAAAGGCAAGGTTTAGCTCAGTGGTTTTGCCACCTGCTGTGCAAGCACAAGGACCCGAGTTCAATCCCTGGTACCAAAAAAAAAAAAAAGAAAAGAAAGGCAAGGCCAGCTTGACAGTTGTGTGGCCTGCAGAAAGGGCTGGTTTCAGTGTCTCAGTTACAGAAGATGAGAGCTGCACTGAACAGCATGGGGGAGGAGAGAGGATCGTTTAAAGAGGGATGGAGGGGGCACAATTGTGGGATCTTGTGATTGGCGCGATGATGAGTGATGGCACATAATGAAGGGAATGAAGACAGCTTTACCTTTTCCCTTGTGTTCTCAGCTGGACCATAAAGGTGATGCTGTAATTTGGTTTTTGGGGTTTTTTTTTTACCCTGGAACCAGGAATCAAACTCAGGACCTTACTGGCCAGGCAGGTGCAGTGGCACTGAGCTACATCCCCAGTGCAGTGATGCTGTAATTTGAAACTGTTGTGATTCAGATTTGACCAGGATGCCAGGGATTTAGCTTGGTGGTGCTGCCACCTGCCTCTCAAGGGCAAGGTCCTGAGTTTGATCCCCAGTACCAAAAAACAACCCAAACAGATCTGACCAGCAGTCAGAGTTTTAGTATACTGACTTTTCAAATATTTTTGTGTGTATTTAAAACATGGTAAAATTTATCTCTATATTCATGAAAGAAATATGAAGATAAGTGTGCCTCTGTCTCCAGGAAAGAAACAGGATGCTGCGTCTGCCTTGCAAGCACAAGGTCCTGAGTTTGATCCCTGGTACTGCAAAAAAAAAAATGGGAGAACATGAAGGCCACACTTTAAGATATAGTTCTCAACCCTGGGAACCAGAACCATTTAGGAATTTGTGGATTTAGAAGGGTAATTTGAACATATAAATACTATAACTCCCCTAGAAGGGTCTGGGACAGCATCTAGTAACCAAGCATATTAACATTTCTGTGGTGAACAAAGGAACATTCATATTAACTGGAATAAATAACCATGATAATCTCAAGACAAGTTTCATCTTCATAAGACTTCTGAATAAACTTTGGCTTTTTAAAGCTTTTTGGTTTCAGAACTATAGCCAAAGGAGTATAGCTGTGTATTTGGGAAATGATGAGCACTATCCACCAAAGAATACTCAGAAATAAAGAGAACTTATACAAACAGTAAGCATAATGTTCAGTTGTTTCATTATGTTTAATCCCAGTACCTGGGAGGATGAGGCAAAAGGATCACCATAAGTTTGAGACCAGCCTGGGCTACAAAGTGAGTTCAAGGCCAGTCTGAACTTACATAGCGAGACCATCTCAAAAAATCAAAAAAAAGTAAAATTGGGGACTCAAATTTTCACCATTGCATTACATCTAAATAAGTATTCACAGAAGAATTTAGAGTGTATTTTAGGTTTGAGAGAAAAAAGTGAGTTTTTATATTTTATTCCACTCTTAAAATTTGTAGTTGTGTTTTTGTTCTGAAATACAAGAACTCTCAAATACTGTCAAATACTGAAATATTTGTGGACCCATTAAATTCATTTCAGGTACACAGGTACACTATTTAAGTCATCTGATATCAGATCGGACAGTTTGGAAGATCTGTGGGAAAATTTAAGCTTACAGCCTGCTAACTCCCCTCGTGTAAATCTCTGTGTAACTCTGTCTCCACAAGGTAAGCTAAAGATGATGCAGAAAGTAAGAAATAGAAGACTAACTTCAATAAAGTGAAGTTTAACCTTTATTAGAATTTAAATATCCACAGTGCAGACAGCGAGCACACTATGTATTACAGCTGTTTGTATTAAGTTATAACAGAAGTCTATTATCTTTAACAAATGCATCAGTGTTACAACTCTTGAACACTGACTTTTGTCCTATCAGCTGGCAGAGGTTCAAATCTGAAATGTTTTGCATGCAGAGTTTTACTTAAAATATGCTCTCAGATGTTTCTTTCCCTAAGATTTTATTAGGTTCAATTAAAACTTCAAAACGACATTTAAAACATTAACAGAATTCTCATGTTCTTCCTTGTGGCAATGGAATGTAGTGTAATGACTTTAATTTCCACTCTCCTTCCCCCATCCCGGATGTGGAAACCCTGAGTGGAATAATCTGTAGCTAATAGTTTCAAACCAGTTTTGAGACTGAATGAATCATTCTTTCTTCCAAAGTCCTTATTAACATGTTATATGACTTGATCTCTTATCTCTGACAGATTGCTTTATATAGTACAAAGAATGAAAAGAATTCCTGTTGTCCAAAGTCTATTCTCCTACACTTTAAACAAATCTAGGATTGTTTTATTTTGTCCTAAGAAAGCACATCATAAGGTTGACTGGTTCCCTTCTCTTCCCCTCCCCTTCCCTCTGTTTTTCCTTTCCTTGCTATTTTTCTTCCTTCCTGTATTCCTTCTTTTTTGCCACCAGTGTATTAGCTTAGATCTGCCTAGACAAATATTGTGGTGAGCATATATAGTGACCATGAATTGTTACTTTGACTTTGTCATTTTTCCCGTGTAGTTATTAATGAAGTATGGCAAGAAGAAACAATTGGGCGCCTGCTACAACTTGTAGACCTTCCACTTCTTGACTCCTTACTAAAACAGAAAGAGGTTGTATCTAAAGTTCCTCAACCAAAGAGGCAGCCTGACATGATCAACAGCAGTAACTATCTGGATCGAGGGATTCTCAAGGCCTATAGTGACTCTCAGTATGTGCAACTACATATAATAATTTCAGTGTGTGTGTGTGTGTGTGTGTGTGTGTGTGTGTGTGTGTGTGTAGGTAGATACAGATGATGATTTTCAGGTAATCTTTGGAATTCTGTCTGTAGGATCAGATATGCATTGTCAGTTGATGTTATCAGTAGTTGAGTGAACAAAATTATGTTAGTCCAAATCAGAAAAACATTTCAATTTCATTTTTCATATTTCATATTCACTGTGTTTCATATATATAACTTTCTTGCTTTCTTTCCTTCCTTCCTTCCTTCCTTCTTTTTTGTGGTACTGGGGATCGAACTCAGGACCCTATGCTTTCGAGGCAGGCACAGTGCCACTGAGCTAAATCCCCGGCCCATATACAACTCTCTTGGACATCAAGTGAAGAAAATGATTATGTTCTCTCTCTTTTTTTTTTTTTTGGTGGTGCACTGAATTGAACCCATTGAATTATATCCCAGTCTTTTTATTTTATCTTGGAGCCAGGGACTCACAAAGTTTTAAGTTGCTAAATTGCGCAGGCTAAGGTTAAGCCTGTGATTCTCCTGCTTCAGCCTCCCAGAGTGTTGAGATTATAGGCATGCACCGCCATGCTCATTTTGATTAGGCTGTATCTTCTTTGTTAAAATGTAGGCTGAATAGTTTCTCAAGATTCCTTAAAGGGATCTGCAACAAAATGGAACAGATCTGACAAATTATTGGAATCCTTTGGTGATACATATTTTTATACTCTTCTAAAATGCCCATTTATAGTGTAATCCTAGCACTTGGAGCCTGAGGCAGGAGGATTGCCATGAGTTTGAAGGTAGCCTGGGCTATATACTGAGTTCAAGGCCAGTCTGAACTATGTAGTAAGACCCTGTCTCAAATCCTGTTTTGTGTGCGTGTGGGTCGGTGGGGGGGCGGGTACTGGTGATTGAACCCAAAGCCTCACACATACAAGGGAAGTGCTCCATCACTGAGCTGCATCCCAGCCCTTTTAATTTTATTTGAGATAGAGTCTCACTAAGTTGCCCAAGATGGCCTCAAACTTGGAATCCTCCTGTCTCAGCCTCCTGAGTAACTGGGAGAATAGGCATGCACCCCCACACCTAGCTGTAAATGCGTATTTTCTAATTAGTTTTATTAAAGAAATATAATCAGAGTGACTCAACTGTCATTCTGAATATAAATCTAAGGTTTGAAGACATACCTTCAGCTGTTAAGAAAATTACAATTTTTTTTCTTCCTTAAGGAAAGTTCTATAACAGTTCTTTAAGGAAGAGTCCTCATAGCTTTGCAAACTCTTCTCCTAAGTAAAATTAAAGGTTAAGCAGATAGTGTTCTAGTCAAGTTAAGGAGATAGAAATTTTTGAAAAGAATACAACTTATATTTTTGTACTTGTTAATTCCACACTCCAGTTGTCAAAAGTAACTATATATATTAACAAATTGAATATTAAGTGCTAGGGATTTTATTTTGTGAAATGTAACATTTTCTGAAGTTACTCAGCAGGCATTTCACTAGACATGTAATTGATTTAATTATTTTGAAAGTTTATTTTCCTCTGTTCTGGCCTAACCAAAGTGAGAGATGTTAGTCAGACACACAGCCCTGGTGTAGTCTACGTTTTATCGAGGAAGCACTGCTTTAGGAGTCCTGATGGGCCTGAGCAAGTAGCGTGGAATTTCTGAGTCTCCATTGTGAATGTAAAAAGTAGAGTTTGAAATCTGGCGTGCCTCACCTCTGTATTGTATAGTTTCTGTTTTTGCAAAAGAGGAAAACACATTCATCTAATTTTTAAAAATTTTGTAAAACACAATTTAGCTATATATTTAAAACTTCTCCATATCTTCAAGCATGCAGAAATTGATCCTGGGAGCAAGCCTTGAAATAGCTTAGGAAAGTAGGTTCTATGTGTGTTTGTTATCCCTCGCTTTTAAGAAGAATCTTTCCTGCTCCCCCCAGAGATGACAAGTGGCTCTCTGCAGCCATCGACTGCCTGGAGTACCTTCCAGACCACACAGTGGTGGCCATAAGCAGAAGCTTTCCCGAGCAGCCCCACAGAACAGACCTGGTGAAGGAGCTTCTGTTTGATGCCATTGGCAAATACTATAGTAGTAGGGAGCCTCTACTGAATCACTTATCCGATGTTCATAATGGAATTGCAGAACTCCTAGGTAAGTAAGATCTTCCTGGATACTAGATTGTATCTTTTGGAGAGAACAGAAAAATGTTTATTGTCTTAATGAGAGGCTGAGGCAGGAGGATCACAAATTCAAGGCTTGCCTGGGAAATTTACAGAGACCCTATCTCAGTAAAACATAGAACTGGGGATGTAGCTCAGTGCCAGGCCCAGGGTTTAATCCCCAATATTGAGGGCAGGGAGTTAATTGTCCTCAAAATTAACTAAAATAGTACTACTGCAAGCTGGGAGTGGATGTGGATTAGTCTGTGAAAAGTATGTTTTTCCAAAACTTTTAGGGTTCCTTTGGAAAAAGCTCTGAAGTTATGCAGGAACTTGTGGTTGCCACAGGAGAATGCTGCTCCCATGTACTGTAAGCTTAGCTACAGAGCAGCAGCTCTCTTCTTTAGAAGAATTTCCAGAACCATCACTCTCCCTTTAATCTTTGTAAAATAGGGAACCCTCTGCTTTCTCCTTCTACCAATGAGCCAGACTGTTGCATGTGCTTTGTTGAGAACAAACTGGGGGTTTCAGAAAATCCCTTCTATTTTTCTCAGGTAGAGATGTATATATCAGTGTCATACACATTGTGTCCCCTCAAAATGCATTGAGTTAATGAAAAACATAGGCTGAGAATTCATTTACAAAGCCAAGAGTTTGATTTACTGCCCTAAGACATTATATGACAAGGATTTACAGTATCAGTTGCCAATTTTAGAACAGACTGCCTTTATGGTGTTCGTCATTCATTTTGATTCTCAGTCTTGTTTTTGCTTTTGGAAATAATTTTGAATAAGTATACTCCTTAGCTTAAGCTGTAATTTGAGTTTTTTTCCCTTTAATAGTCATATTTGGTCAATTAAAAGGAGGGTTTTTTTTCTTTTGGCTAAAGTAAATGGGAAGACTGAAATAGCCTTAGAAGCAACTCAGCTTTTTCTGAAGCTTTTGGATTCCCCAAATAGAGAAGAATTTAGACAACTACTGTATTTCATGGCTGTTGCAGCACATCCTTCAGAATTTAAACTACAGAAAGAAGTAAGTCTTGGGCCAGGCATGGTGGTGCATAGTTGTAATCCCAGCACTCGGAAGGCTGAGGTAGGAGGATTGCCACAGGATTGAGGCCAGCTTGGGCTACATAGGGAATTCAAAGCTAGTTTGAACTACATAGTGAAACTGTCACAAAAAAAGTCTAAATGTTTGTTATATTCACTATCCTTGATACTTACCCTGTGTCAGATCATTCTATCACCAGCATCAAGTATGCTGAAATGGATAACAGTTATTAATTGCCAGATGTGGTAGTACACACCTGTAATCCCAGTACTCTGGGAGGGTGAGGCAGAGGATGGCAAGTTTGAGCCTAGCCTGGGAAGTATAGCAACATGGCAAGACCCTATCTCAAATGTTTTAAAAAGGGGGGATGGGATGTAGCTCAGTGTGAAGGCCCTGAGTTCAGTTCCCAGCAGTGCAAAACAACAACAACAAACTATTACTATTTAATATTCCCTTAGTATTAAACAAAGCCTTTTTTTTTTTTGGTACTGGAGATCGAACTCCACCTTGTGCTTGCATGGTGCCACTGAGCTAAATCCCCAGCCCTAAACATAGCCTTTAAAAAATGTACCATGATATGTGTTTTATTTTTGTAGAGTGATAATCGAATGGTTGTGAAAAGGATATTTTCAAAAGCTATTGTTGACAATAAAAATTTATCCAAAGGCAAAAGTGATCTTCTGGTACTCTTTTTAATGGATCATCAAAAAGATGTTTTTAAGGTAAAATTCTGACAGTACTTAAATTGAGCTTATTTGTTATCGATCATTTATGTATAGACTAAAACCCATTTGAATAATGTCCTCTGTTCCTTCTTTTTCTTAAGATTCCTGGAACTCTACATAAAATTGTTAGTGTTAAGCTTATGGCAATACAGGAAGGAAAAGATCCAAATAAAGACACAGGTAATTTGAGGAATACTATTTCCATGATCCTATAAAGACAAATTCCTGTTGTTTATTTGAAGTTATTTTGCTATAGTTAATTTAAACTAAATTATAAAGATTCTCTTCAGAGTTATCCAGTCTTAGCAGAGAGCCTCCTGTTTAAAAAAGCAACTTGAGGGGCCGGGGATTTAGCTTAGTGGTTTCCCGTCTGCTGTGCAAGTTCGAGGACCCGAGTTCAATCCCCGGTACCAAAAAAATAAAAATAGAATAAAAAAGCAACTTGAGCCAGGTGTGGTGGTGCACACCTGTAATCCCAGTGCTCTTGGAGGCTGAGGCAGGAGAATTGCTGAAAGTCTGAGGCCAGCCTGAAGTATATAGGGAAACCCTGTCTCAGAAAACAAACAAACAATAAAAAATTTGACCAGGTTCAGTCAGTGCTTATCTTCAGAGCATTTACAAAATGGGAACATAAATATAAAACTACTGTATCACTTGATTTTTACAGTTAAATCTGAGGAATGGGGGAGGTAGTGGACAGGAAGGGGACTTAACATGAATCAAACTGTTATATACATGTGTCACCTCCCCATGGTGAATGTAATCATAACGTACTGCAAACCTGAACTAATGGCCAGGTGTGGTGGGACACCCCTGTAGTACCAGCACTCAGAGGCTGAGGCAGGAGGATTGCCATGAATTCAAGGCCAGCCTGGACTACATAAGGAGACCCTGTCTCAAAAAAAAAAAAAGTGTACCAATAAAAATTAAAATAAATATGAGGAATATAGTCAATAACTGAACTTTTCCCTTTTTAAGGATATATTTACTGCCAGAGAATTGATCCAAGTGTCTATTCCAGCAGCACACAGAAGAAAACCAAAGATGAACTGTTGAATTTACTAAAAGCTATTGATGAGGATTCTAAACTATCTGCCAAAGAGAAGAAGAAATTGCTAGGTCAGTTCTATAAGTGTCATCCAGATATCTTTATTGAGTATTTTGGAGACTGAATTTCTAATGTCTGTATATAAGTTTTGTATTTTAAGAATAAATTATGTATCCCAAAGATCCAATCACATTTGGAAGTTCTAAATATGAAACTGTACTTAATAAAAAGGTTTTTTTATAAACTTGTGTGTCAGAAACTGAGTGGTAGTGAGATAGTGAATTGCCATGAAGTACTAATCTCTCAAGTGAGTTGATTTGTAGTTATAGTTTATAGGGCTCAACATTATAGGGATTTAGATGATTTGAGATGTAATTATATAAGAAGGCATTTAACAGTAAGGAGGTCTACCATTCCATATTAATAGGAGTGTGGTTTATACTTTTAGAGTTAGTGCTTGCTTCAGTAGCACATATAATAAAATTGGAACGATACAGAGATTAGCATGGCCTCTGTGCAAGGATGACATGCAAATTCATTAAGCATTCCATGGTTTTCGAGAACTACCTGTTCTACGTCTATTTTTAAGAGGTATTCCTTAATTAAAGATGCAAGATGGAAATTTAGGCTACGATAAAATGGATTACCACAAATTATAGATAAGTCAGAAATCAGACTATCCTAGTGCTTCCGAAAACATCATCACATTTTGAAATTTATTATGGGAAATTTCAAACATATACAAAACCTACTTGTACCCATCAACCAATTTCAACAATTGCCAATTTATGGGCAATCTTTCATCTACATCTCTACCCATTCCATGGGTCCACCCGAGCAAATTTCAGACATCTTATTACTTCATGTATTTCAGTATGTGTGACCAAAAGAGGACGTTAAAAACAACTACAGCTGAGAATGGTGGCATATGTCTGTAATCTCAGCACTCAGGAAGTGAGGCAAGTAGCTGCAAGTTCAAGGCCAGTCTGGCCTACACAGTGAGTTTAAGGCCAGGCTGAACTGTATAGGGAGACCCTGTCTCAACCAAACAAACAACCACAGTATTATCACTCATAAGTCCTGTAATTCCTTAATATCAAGGATGCAGTTAATGCTCAAACTTTCTGATCTTAAATGATTGTTGATAGTTTATTCAAAACAGTGTCCATAAATTGCAACTGATTAATGTGTTTCTTTGTTTCTTAAGTCTCTTTAATCTGTTGGTACTTTTCTTGTTTTTTGGGGGGGGGGGATGGGGACAGGGTCTTGCTTTGTAGTTCAGGCTGGCGTTGAACTCAAGGTGATCCCCCTGTCTCAGCCTCCCAAGTGCTGGGATCACAGGCGTGTGTCACCATGCTGGTTTTTCTTTCTTCTCCATGCTTCTCCTTTTCGGTCTATTTTTGAGTAAACCTGGTTATTTGTCCTTGAGTTTCCCACAGTCTACATTGCTGACTGTAAGCCTAGCCTGTCCTTTATCATGTCTTTTATCATGGTCCGAACCCAAATCCAACATCTAACCCTAAACTGAAACCTTACCCTACTCTCTAACTCTAATCCTCACCCAAAAGCTTACCCTAACCCTAAAACTAATGCAAAACCTAACCTTAACCCACAAGGGGGCATCATGGTGGGTAAAACACACCCTGACCATAATTTTCTCATGCAAATATGTACTTTAGCCTAACTGTAGCCAGCTGTGCTATAGTTCCTTTATCATGTCCTTTATCCTTGTACATTGATCCTTAGAGCTAAAGTTTTTTTTTTTTTTAACTTTTAAACTAATGATTATTTCAGAACCACTGCACTGTCAAGACATATTTAGTAAGTAGAAAAGCAGTCTAACACAATGTGAAATACAATTTGAAGTTTTTCATCCCTAACCTTTTGGTTGTATTATGAGGCTGAATTTTATTTTATTTTTATTTTTATTTTTTGGTGCTGGGGATCGAACTCAGGACCTTGTGCTTGCGATAGGCAGCGGCACCACTGAGCTAAATCCCTGGCCCTGAATTTTATATTTTAACATAGTTTTTTGATGAGAGGTAGGGAAAACTTAAAAATGACACACTAATATGGTGACATTATCAGTAATTTTTGTTTTCTGATATAACTGATACTGGCTAGTCTTCAAGTGGAAGAAGGTCGAGGGCTAATATCTGTAATATAATAGCATAATACCAACTCACATAAAGCAGGGAAAATTAAGTTTTCTTGCATAAAGAAAGGGGGGGCAGCTTTCTTTACAAAGAGGAAAGATAATTCATGGCTTACGTGAGAGGAAGTTTTCAGAAACAAGCTACTAAAACTGGTGAGACAAAATAGTTGGCAGAGCAACTCTGTGCTGATTTACAATCTTTATTTTGCACATAATTAAGAAGCATGATTATTTGGCAACCAAAACTAACACCTTGAGGGGAAGACAAAAGGAACTGCTTAATGATGTACATGGTTCTAGAAGCAGCAACATTCAAACAGAATGACAATCTCATGGAAAACACCAGTAAACAGTCTATGGTTAATAAGCAAAAATAGGATAAAATTTTAAGAAAAATTGGTTATGAGAGCTGCAATTAGGAAACTAGAAAAACCAGCACAAAGCAGAGATGTGAGGAGAGATCCTCCCTGTGCTTCAGGGAGGTGACAGGGTAGCAGCTTACCTCCAAGAGCAGCTGTCTCCTTTTTCCCAGTCCCCTGTAGCCTCACACTGAACTCCTTTTCCCTTGAGGTAGTTTGACTTTCTAGTCCTTGAAAGCAAAGATCAAACTGGAACAGGCCAGGCACGGTGACGCACATTTGTAATCCCAGCGCTGGGGAGCTGAGGCCAGAGGACGTCCATGAGTTCAAGGCCAGCCTGACCTCCAGAGTGAGACCCTGTCACAACCAAAAAAAACTAAACAAACTGGTACATGGCTCAACATGTTTTCCATATTTAAAAGAAATAGTTCAAAACATATCAGAGGGCTGGGGATTTAGCTCAGCAGCATCTTGTCTGGCTGGTGAGTGCATGGTCCTGAGTTTGATTCCCAGTATCAAAAAAACCCACCAAAATATGTATCAGAGCTTACAGATAAACTATTCCATTCATGCCTGAAATCTTGAAGTCATCAATGAGCTGTACCACCATGTCTTTGTTTGGGTCATTGGGATCACTTTCTCGAACACATTTGAGCAATTTTATTTCATCCAAGGCTGTCTCTTTGTAATGCTGGGCACTTTTTTACAACTTTCATTGCAACAAATCTTTTCCCCTGCATATCCCAGCACAGCCAGACAGTAGAAAAGTGCCCCCATCCTAGCTTTCTAATGACACGATATCGACCATTGAAAAGGTCTCCAATTTTCACTGGATGATAGCCACCTTTACAGTAATCCGCAGGGTCCTCCTGTTCCTCATCGTCTGATCCCAGGATCTCCTCCTCTGGCTCTGGGGGAGTAGGGTCTGGTGGTGGTGGTGGTGGTGGAGGAGGTGGAGGAGGAGGAACTAAAGGAGCTTTCTGTTGAGGCTCAGGCCAATCCATGAAATCAATACACTGGGTCAGAGAAAGCATTTCTTTCTGAAGAGGACGACTTCTCAGAGTTAACTGACATCAGCAGCTCAATCTTCTGCTTGATTTTTTTCCGGATTTCTCCCTCTTTTCGGCCTCCGTTTTCGGGCCTAAATGGCCAGCACTTTCCGGGGGGCTTCGCGCGGTGGCAGCGGCGGCGACGAGGAAACCCAGCCAGGTCGGGTTGCAGCCTCCACTCGCTCCGCTGGCCAGGAGGAGGCGGGAACCCCGCCTGCCCAGATAAACTATTCCAAACTAAATCAGAGTGGTTTTAGTATTGTCAGTGTCCTCTAAGTGTTAATCCTTCAAGGAAGATAAGGATCTCTTGCTATCATGTGGTTCTAGCCCGGCAGACTGCACATTAGAATCCTCTTGGAAGCTTTTATTACTTGCCTGGCCTCAAGTTCAGAGCTTTTAGATGATGGTTTTAGAATCCTGACCCTTCACATTCTAAACTAGAAACTGTGGTACATTAGTCTGGACTCAAGAGTGTGAAATGAATGTTTGTGAATCTTAACAGTCACAGTTTTTTAGGCAAATCTTCCTCTGAGAACTTTTTTTTCTTGGTACCAGGGATTGAACTCAGGACCTTGGGCTTGCCAGGCAGGCCCGGTGCCACTGAGGTGAATCCCTGGCCCACTTTTTTTTTTTTTAAAGCAAAAATAATGTACCAGTTGGTAAGTGGTGTGGGTGCTTAACATACTCAGTGTTTTGAAAGCTTTTAATCTATCCATCAGGTTTGTTCCAGTTATTTAAACAAGTTTCGTAAGTTACATGTAGATTTATTGCCTTTATTTTAAGGCATGCATCATTCATACTCAGTTAAAGCATTTTAAAAAGGTGAACAGTTAAATCACTTGCCTTCTATCTTTTAAAATAGGGCACCACAACTATTTGTATTTGCAGGTTGGTTTTTTGTTTTTTTTTTTTAACTGCTGCAGACCAAAAAAGCAGTTTTCTTGAAGCAGCAACTCAGTCAAGCTTGACAATAGCCACAGTCCTAGACCTAAGCATACGAGGCTCTAAAATGGGTTTAACATACCTCGGGAAAATGTTCTTGTTTTCTGGAACACAGACAAAACATAAAATGCCATGAGCGTTCACGTTGCTGACAACAACCTGCACAGAACGGAGCTCTTAAGGGAACCATTTATACACACACACACACACACACACACACACACACACCCACCCACCCCTCTGCCTCCGTCTTTCCAGAGCTGACAGTCTTCCCACAGACATCACGGAGCAGCCACTAGAAGTACCATAATGACTCTCAGAAACCAACCCGAGTGCCACTGAGACGTCGCTATATGGGAAACGCTGGGCATGACTTTTATAACAGCCAAAATGAGGGAAGAGGAATAAACTTTGTGTAGATACAAAGATGATGGCATATATTTCAAAATCTGGGCGGGAAAGGTTTGAAATGCGATTGCTTCTTTCCTTTTCCTTTCTTTAACTGACTCCGCGCGTTTTTTCCTCTTTCCCGTCGCGGCGCCGGCAATACCATGGTGTCCAGATGCCCCTACTACTTTCCGTACGAAAACATGGCGCTTCCCTGCTCGCAGCAGGCTACTCCTGGCTCCGAGCCATTGCCCAGTGAGTTCTCTCGGCCGGCACCTGGCCACGCCCATTTTCCGTACGGAAACATGGCGCCGCCCAGCTCCCGAGTCACTGTTCACTGAGCCCCTTCAGCAGGCTGGGGACTGAGCCTTCCGACTCTCCGTACGAAAACATGGCTCTGTCCTAGGTTGGTCGGCCGCATTCTGACTAAAGTCAGTCTGCCCGTTCCCGACGCTGGGAAGCAGTCACGGTGGCCGTTGGCACCCGAGCAGGACATTGAGGACCGCCCGCAGAGAGGAAAGGGATGAGGTGTCCGAAGGGCAGAAACTGAACTGCTCTGCTCGTCGCGGATTGCTCCTATCTAAGCCCCAGCGCCCGTCCCGCCTGACTCGGCGAGAGCGGCGGGAGGGACGACGCAGACTTCGCGGCAGGTGAGCGGCGTGCGCGAGGCGCCAGGTCGGAAGTACTGCTGTTTCTTCGCCTTTTCCCGCCGGGCTGGGCCCTAGTGATGGTTGGGGGAGACGAGGAACAGGCTGGGACGGCGGGCGCCCCGCTTGGCTTGCTCCGGCCCTGCCACTCCCTCCCTGGCCCAAATTGTTGTTTACAACGGAATCCAGATCCCGGGAGTTGGGGGCACTGAGCATCAGAGGAAGCGATTCTCAGCGTCCCTGGACGGACCCCCTCTGCTCCTGTGGGGAGGTCTCTGGTGTGGGTCTTCGCGGAAGCGCGAGGATCTCCTACCTGGTACGGTAGGGGTTGATGGTTGTTGAATGAAATGAGTGCACTGAGAGCAATGAAATGCCTCCTGGATGCATCCTATAGCCCTTTCATTATAGTTACCTCTGGTAGAAAGCTTGTGTGCCAGCCTCTGTTAGACACAGTCCCCATTTACTCTTTCCCCATATGAGGAGGGAGGTAGCTCCGTTGTATAGAGGAGAAAACGCAAGTAATAAAGAGCCAGAATTGGACCCCAGACCAACTCCCAGCATGCCTAAATGCAGTGACATCAGAGATGACACAGGAATTCATCCCTGTCAGTAAATACTTAGTATCTGTTTAGGTGATGCAGTTATACATATGGTGCATATATGGGAGTGTGGTTGGTCCTGTCTCCTAAGAAGCTCAAGATCTAGGTGAAGAATTTTTAAAAAACAATTAGCCAGGCATAGTGGCATATGTCTATAACCCTAGCACGCCAGCACTCGGGGAGGCTTAGGCAGGAGGCAAGTTGGAGCCCAGCCCGAGCAATTTAGCCACATAGCGAGACACTGTCTCAAAATAAAAAAATGGAGGATGTAGCTTGGTGCAGAGGCCCAGGGTGTGATCCCCAGTACTAAAAAGAACAACAAAATAGCGCTTTTATTATCAGACCCAACCATTTTTCCAATTTACCCCCTGCCACTTTTCTCATTTTTGCTTCAAACTTCTCATTGGCTTCTGCCCTCTCTGGATGAAATGCCCCTCTTTTCACCTTCCTTCCCCCTCCAGATATTTTATAACTGGGTGAAATTCTACTTTCAAAGGTCAGCTTAGCCAGGTGTGGTGGCGCATGCTTGTAGTCCTAGCACTCAGGAGGCTGAGGCAGGATGATCGCCGAGAGTTTGAGGCCAGCCTGGGCTACATAGTGAGTTCAAGGCCTGACTGAACTGCAAAGCGAGATCCTGTCTCAAAAACAAAATAAAAATCTTTCAAACTGATGGTGAAATAAGATATTTGCATGATGAAGAAAATCATATAAAGGTACAAGATCCCAATGATGAATGTAACTGTATTTTATACCTAAAATGTACCAATAAAGTTGGGGGGGGGGGGGCGGGAATCACACATCAAAGGTCAGCTCAAATGTCATCTTTCCTGGGAATGTTTTCCCAACCTCCTCCTGGGTGGAATTAAGTTCTCCTTCTGCTAATGAGACTAGCAATTTCATAATGCTACTAAGGCTTGAGTTTCATTATGGTTCCCTGTAAGCCTGCCTGTCTCTTTTCTAGACTATGTATTTCATCTTTCTGTTCCTGTTTAAGTTTTATCATTATTATTACTAGGGGTTTTTTTAGACAGGATCTTCCTATGTTGTCCAGGCTAGCCGGGAACTCACAGTAATCTCCCCGCCTCAGCCTCCAGAGTGCTGGGATTACTGGCATGGGACACCACGCCCGGCTATTATTAGGTTTTTTGAGACAGGGTCGTGCTATGTAGTTCAAACTGTCCTTGAATTATGTAGCCCAGGCTGGCCTTCAACAGGCATGTTGAGTTCCTCCTGTCTGGGCTTCCCAAGTGCTGGGATTACAGGCGATCTCCACCACTCCAGACCTTAGTTAAGCTTCTTTGGAATTGAAGGAAGTGATGAATGCCAGATGTCTAGCACCAGCCCTGCAGGAGTTGGAGAAAAGTGCAAACACTAATGAGGTTGGAGGAAGTGTCCTGGGAGGAGATAGGACTTCAACTGGATCCTAAAAGAAAGGGGTAGGTTTAGGAAACAGGATTAGAGACCTAGGCATCTTCTCTACTCCTAGCTGCTCAGAATGAATTACTTCATCTTTTCTGTGCTCCTGATTCTCAGCTTGTGAGGAAAATAAAATTAGAAGTGCTTTTGTTTTTCCTTTCTCATACATTACACTGGTAATGATATTGTTTGGGTCTTGGAGCATTTCCAGACACTAATAGGATTTAGGGCAGTGAGAAGATGGATGTTGGAAGGTAAAATTGGATTAGAAAGGGGAGATACATTAAAACAAACTTCATATTAATAATACATTTCCAGTCACTCATTCTTCTTAATGGAGGTCTCGGAAATTTCACAGAACTGTGTCAAGTGATACTTTCCTAATTGTTCAAGAGTCTGCCAAACCTCTCTAAAGCAGTCGACATTTCTTTTGATCCCTTGATTTTCTTCCAGATGTGTAATGTAGTGCAATTGCTGTTTGTCGCAATGTTTTATGATAATGTGCTAATGGTATAAATGTTAATTATTTTCAGAACTGTAAATGCAGAAATACTGTGTCTGTCTTCTCCCTTAGTCAGAAACACCCTAGGAATAGAGAACCCTAGGGAAAAGCTTGACAAAACATGGTTGTAACTAAGAGTCCTTTATTAACAGGCCCAAACCAAGGTGTCAAGTGATGTTCTGTTCTAACCAACAACTAATAAAATGAAAACCTTGCCTAATCACACACATTATGGTTGTTTGCAACTTCCTGCTTCACTCATGATCTTTTCCTACTGACTGGCAACGAGTTAATAAAAATCTTTGCCTCACACATTCCTCCTAAACACTTAAAGAGTATTTACCTCTATTTGCATCTGCAGGTGTTTTTCCCACAGGATAGGATCAGGGAATCAACTCTTGAGCCCTTTGTATTCACTTGGAAGCATTTTCTTCCTGGGCGTGGTAGCACCTCTGAGTGGGTGGGGAATTTGGGTACTCCCAGCTCCTTAGGAGGCTGAAGCAGGAGAGTCACACGTTGGAGGCCAGCTGAGGCAATGTGTACAAGGTCCTGGATTCAATCCTCAGTACTGCTAAAAAACAAACAAAAAATTGTTTGCAAGGAATTTTCCAGTCATTTCTCAAGGATGAAAGTAAAACATTTCAGATTGAATTACTTCTTTTGATTAAAATAGAAAGCAGGTAGTTCATAGTGTTGTTGTCTATTAGTTTAAAACCCTCTGTTCTTGTGATATGGTATTCATGAGGGAAATAAAAATATTCCTACATATTACTCTCTAAGGTCTATACATACGAGAAATAATAAGTGCCATTTTGTAAGTATCTGTTTAATCTTTTATTTAAGAGACAGGGTCTTGCTCTGTAGTGTAGGCTGGCTTTGAATTCACTGGGTAGCCCAGATTGGCCTACAACTAGCAGCAGTCCTGCTGCCTCAGCCTCCCAAATGCTGGGGTTACAGGCTTGTACCACCATGCCCAACTTAGTATCCATTTAATCATCGAAGTAGAATATTGTAGCTGGATAAGATCCTGGCAAGCTCTTTTATTTTGCAGAGGAGAAAACTGAAACCCAAAGAGATTAATAATTTGCCTAGAGTCACGATACTAGTTAGTGACAGAGCTAGAGCACTTTTGACTCATTTTTTTTCTTTCCTAGGAAAGTGAATAAACTTAATTGAGAATGTCTGAAAACCTTGACAAGTCCAATATAAACGAGTCAAGTGATTCTGAGCAGGGCCTGGAAGGTGCTGTGGAACATTCTGATGAAGCTTTACAGAAAAATATAAAATCAGACTCTCCTAGCCCCCAGAGGGTACAAAGACCTCACTGTAAGTAAATTTGACTTTGGTTAGAAGCAAAATTGTTTTCAGATGGTATTTTTATTCTCTTTCCTTGTGCATGTGGCCCTGAGCTAGTCAGTCAGTCTATCTTTCATTCTTTCTTTCAGGAAAGAGAGGTTTATTTTGGCTTACACCTAATGTCTGATAATGTCAGAACATTGCCAATAACTAGCACTTACAAATGGCAGTAATTTCTCAACTGACAGCCTAGTTACTTGTGGGTTTTTAATTGCATGAGAAAATTAAAATTTTAAAATGATATAATATCCAGAATGTCCCTGTCTTTCTCCAGCATCAAGGGCATTTCAGTTTCTCTAAACTGCTCTCTGAGAAATAGGAATGTGGAGTGCAAATTACTACAGTTCTAACTAAGAGTATTTAAAGACTCTGAGGCTGATTCTAGCCTGGAGAAGGCTTGTGCAGGTTAAAGAAAAAAAAAAATAAATGAATTCACCATACCCTAAATTCACTGCCTAGGGGCTTAGTTCCCGCAAAGGTGAAGGGATTCAGTTTGCTGAATGAATGTGATGAAGTCCTTTCAGATCCCTGGCAGGAGCAAGCTTCTAGATGAAAGGGGGCAATTTCAGCTTATTCCTAGCAATTCTACCAACTCATGTCTTTTATTAAGAATGCAATACTCAAGCTTTTTTTTTCTTTTTCTTTTTGTACTGGGATTGAACTCAGGACCTTGTGCTTGCGAGGCAGGCGCAGCACCACTGAGCTAAATCCCCCCCTCAAGCTTTTTGAAGTGAGTCCAAAGAAAAACATTTTCAAGAGGAGTGTCATAGTCTAAGAATGTCAGTATTGATGTTATCTCTCAGAACTGCAGATGATTAGTAATTCTTCGTATTTGGAAGAAGTGCAAACATTTTTTGGGTTTTGAGCTGGGTTTCTTCTGAAATGATCATAGTCCTTCCCAGGTTATTTATTCGTCTATATAGTATTAGAGTAAACATTAGTGGGCCCCATTTTATTGTGATTTATTATCACAAACTACTTTTAACAAACTACTGCTGGGACAAATTGTGTCCAGGGAAACAGGCTGTTAAGAGCGTGATCTTGTGTGCATATGTTAGGTCTTAAATATACCTATCTCTTGGAGTGGCTGTGAAGATGAAATTAATTCACATTCAGCACCTAGAACAATGCTTGGTCATAATAAATGCTCAGTAAACATTAGTTGTTGTTACTGCTGCTACTAATATTATGTCATCTGTTGGATTTATGATGGCAGGATTGATTGCTGTAATGTATTGTGGAGGTTCCATAGTTTGGATATGAAATGACCCCTAAAGGCCTGTGTGTTAAAGGCTTGGTCTCTAGCCTAGGACACTACTGGGAAGTGGTGGAAACTTTTAGAGGTGAGGTCTAAGGAGAGGAAATAAGGTCACTGGGCCATGCCCATAAGGAAGATTAAAGGACCCTACCCCCTTCCATTTCCTCCCTTTAGCTTCCTAGTTGTGAGGCAAGCAACTTTATTACCATGTGCTCTCCACCATGATGTGCTGCCTCACTACTGACGCAAAGGCATGGATCCAGCTGGTTATGGACTGACTTTCCAAAACTGTGAGCCAAAATACACCTTTTCATTTATTAAGTTGATTTAACTAAGGTATTTGTTACAGTAACAGAAAGTTGATGAATACAGGATGTTTAACACGATTGTTTTATTGCTCATAGCATCTAGTAAAGAAGGACTTTTGTTTTATGTTCAGTCATTCTTTGATTGATGTTCTTGCCTTTGGCATTCTGCCAGTTCAATCACATGACACCAAATTACTGTTCAGCTGAACACTAGGCCATGTTGAGATTGTGTTATGTCACTAAGAAGAGCACTTATCCTGGAACCTATGATCAAGTTTTTAAGGATCTAGGAATAGCCAAAAAAGTACAATAACATTTGTGTGTAATGTCTGTGCATTTTTTAGGAAGAACATGATGGGAGCTTTCATTAAAGTTTCATAGACATCTGCTGTGGTTGGATGTGGTTTGTCTAACAAGGGTTCCTATTTTACAGGCTTGGTCCCTAGTGTGGTGACTTTTTTTTTTGTACAGTACTGGGAATTGGATCCAGGGCCTTCACAGTGAGCTACATCTCAAGGCATTTTTATTTTATTTTTACTTTGAGATAGGGTTTCATTAAGTTGCTAAATTGCCTGGGCTGGGTTCGAACTTCTGATCCTCCTGTCCCAGCCTCCCAGAGTGCTGGGATTACAGGCATGTGCCACTATGCCCAGCTTACTGTGTTGATCTTGAGGTGGTAGAACCTTGAAGAGGTGGTTAGGTCATTGAGGAGCACTGCCTTCGGAAGGGATCAGTGTAGTTCCTGTGGAACCCTAGTTAGTTCCTGAGAAATAGGTAGAGTAAGCCTGGCCCCTCAATCTCACTCTGACTTCTTTTCTGACCATGTATTCTCTTTATACTCACTCCTGCCTTTATGATGCTGTCTGCCATGAGGCCCTAAGCGGTCGAGCAGATGCCATATTCTTGTACTTTTAAAAACTGTCCACAGAATAAGCCTTTCTTTGCAAAGTACCTGGCCTCAGATATTTAGGTATAACAATGGAAAATGGACTAATACAGGGACGTACTAAAATGAGTTTTAAGTCAGTACTCTCAGGTGCTCCTTTTGGCTTCATTGCTCTTTCTCCTGGTCTACTAATTAGGAGTTTAACTAATATACTCTAAGTTACTAACTGACTGAAGTTTAATTAATGGATTAAATTAGTGGATGCCAGTCATCCTTGGATGTATGGATGACAGTGAGTTTTTACATTTGTCAAGTGCATGACTAAACTTTTTGCATATGTAAAAACTTAGTGTCATCCATGCATCTAAGTCTAGTGAGGAAGACATTGCTGAGCAGTTTGCATCCAGTGTAAGAAGTACTGTGCATACCTTTTGCCCTCCCTTTACCATACTCCCTCTGTGGTAGCTGTTGGGTAATAGTTGCTATCTGCCCTCCACTAATCCCCATCTATTTATGTGACCAGAAGCATCTCTTTAGAGTGTGTAGATGTCTCAGATCCTAGGGCCCCTTAATAGAAAAGGTAGTTTACAACCATGCTGAGTTAGAACTTCATTTTATTTAGGAATCTGTCTGCCAGCCTCCCAAAGGACATATTTAACTTAATATGTTCTCTTACAGGACATCAGTGTACAAAAGATGTAACAAAATTCAGCAGGAGGTTAGCTTTCCTTTTCTTTTTTTTTTTTGCAACAGAATCTTGCTATGCAGTTCAGGCTGGCCTTGAACTCACTGTGTAGCCAAGGCTGGCCTCAGACTCATAGTGATCCTCCTGCCTCAGCCTCCCAAGTGCTGGGATTACAGGCGTGCACCACCATGCTCAGCAAGCAGTTTAGCTTTCTCTACTGTATAATAAACTCCATGGAAAAATATGTGTAACTTTACCATTTTTCATGGCTCTTATTATAACTGATGTTCTCTTTATAAATTAAAATGAAGTTGTATTGTCTACCAACTTGCATCTTTACAAGTTCTCATTTATGAAAGTGGTAAATTTGAGAACTCTCAGACGAAAACCCCCACAAAATCCCACAACACTGTAATTTGTATGCAATGAATAATTCCTCTGTATGTAGATCTGTAACACATCTTGACATATCTTAGAATTGTAACCTTTATCTTTCTTGATCAGATACCTCCTGTTATAAGTCTGATTTTTAAGTAGTGTATTAGTCAGGTACACAATACCTGGACACAATGCCTAGACCCACAACGTAAGAAGGCTTGTGGTTTTCAGGTTGTGGTCCATCGTGGGCTGGCTTCAAGGCAGAAATGATGTGGTGGAGGGGCATGGTGGAGGAAAGGAGCTCATCTCCTGGCTGCCAGGAAGCAGAGAGAGCAGGGAGGAGCTGGGGAGGGCAATAAACCCTCCAAGGGCAAACCCCCAGTGACACACCTCTTCCAACCAGGCCCCACCTCCTAATAACACTTTCAGCTATGTACTCACTTATGGATCAGTCCACTGATGAGTGTAGCGGCGTATGATCCAACCACCTTCCAAAAGCCTCACCTCTGAACACGAGACATTAGAAGGACAGTCTAGATCTAAACTATAGCAATCATCTTCTTAATAGGTTCTGAAAATTTTATTCTTCCTGGTTTCCTGATATTCTCAGCTGTTTTGTCCTAAGTATGCTTTAAATACCAAGAACATACTTGCCTAGAATTTGGAGGATTCTCATCTTTCTCAGAACATCCTTAGCTGGGTGTGGTGGCACCTGCCAGCTACTTGGGAGGTGGAGGAAGGTGGATAGGTGGATGGCAAGTTCGAGACCAGCCTGGGCAATTTAGTGAGATCCTGTCTTACATTTTAAAACAAAACAAAGGAAGAAACAGGCTGGGATGTAGCTCAGTGGTAGAGTACTTGCCTGGCCTGTGTGAGACCCTGGTTTCAATCCCTTGTACCACAAAACCAACAGAAATCTTTTAGTTTCACTATCTTCCTTTTTGCTTATGGAGAAACCTCTGCCCTGAACATTCTAAGTAATTTGTTCAAGGTCATACTCAGCAGAGTCTAGAAGAAGCCAAATTTCCTCCCAATTCCTTCCATCTCACACATTTATGACAAAACAACAGTGTTCCTCATTACCTGGATGCCTAAAATTACTGAAGAGCAGGAAGTTTTCATAAATTTAAATGGCAGTGCAACTAAGTAATTTTGTATTAGTAATGTTCTCTGGGAATACTGAGAATAATTTTGTAAGAGGAATTTTGAGCATTTCCCCAACTTTTTTTTTTTTTTTTTGGTACTGGGGATTGAACTCAGGACCTTGTGCTTGCGAGGCAGGCTCAGGCACCACTGAGCTAAATCCCTAGGCCTTTTTTTGGTCTTTGAGACAGGGTTTCACTTTGTAGTTTATGCTGGCCCTGAACTCACTATGTAGCCCAGGCTGGCCTTCAACACATGGCGATCTTCCAGCCTCAGCCTCCCAAGTGCTGGGATTATAGGCAGGTGCCACCACACCTGGCTCCAACTTCCCTTTATGTGATCAAATAAAGATTTTTACTAGATCAGACAACCAGTTCTTTGGTTTCTTTTGGTTGTGTGGGTACAAAGAAAAAATTAAAAGAAGGAAAATAATTTTTCACTACACTAAGAACTTTACAACTGTTAAAACTTGGGCAAACCTGTGATACTACTTTTCTGATTTTAACACTGTCACATAAAGTTAATGTACTCATCTCCCAGGCCAGTACTTCTCAGACTGGTTTCTGGGGTCTTCAGCATCCACCCGAGACTTGTTAGAAATGCACATTCTCCTGGCTTGCCCCAGACTTGCTAAATCAGAGACCCAGAGAGAGGGCCTACTAATCTGTTTCCTAGGCCCTCCCTCTGATTCCATATAGGCTGAAGTCTGAGAACCACTGTCATAGACTTTTTAGAAGAATTACCCCTTATTCTTTGGTTCAGAAACCTGGAAAAATTGTATGAGAACTTTCTTTCTGGAAGACAAATCTCAAACTTTAGCAAAAGAGAAAGCTGTGTACACACCGTAATCCCAGCATTCTAAGGCAGGGGGATTCCAGCCTGGGCAACTTAATGACTTAGACTGTCTCCCAATAAAAAATAGATACAGATGTATTGGGATATAGCCCACCACAAAGGCCCTGGGTTCGATTCCCAGTACTGCAAATAGATAAATAAATAATAATAAAACTTTAAAAGAGAAGTAGAGAGACCAATTTTCAGGCTGTTAAACAGTTGATAGAGAAATAAAATCTACAGGACTTAGCAGGGCAGTGGGAAAGTGAGACATCAAGGTGACTCTTTTTCAGTTTTTGTTTCAGCGGGCCTTCATTATGCAAAATTCTTGTGTCACACACCTTCTGCTCTGTTCATTAGTGTAAGCCACAGAGCTCTCGTTCTATCTTAGTGTCCTATGTAGGCTATGGGATTAGCATTGCTTAAACAGCACCTGATGTCCTGAGACTTAATTGGTGTTTTAATTTGGAGAGATGCATTCCTGGCATAATGTTAGTGGTAGTGCAAAAAATACACTGCCACTAGAAGCAAAGGAGATCTTAAATCTGGTGTCTCCTCTTTTTTTTCTTTTAGGGACAGATAGGAAGCAGAAGTGTTAGAACATAAACCCTTAGCTTTTGGGATAATGGGCATCTATAACTTAAGATTTTGAATTCCAGTTTGCTGTAATCATTTTTCATTGACCAAATAACGTAGTCATCTTTCATCTTAGTAAAAACCAGATATTTTGAGTATTGCAAATGATCCTTACTCCTAGCATTCTAGGATAAAAAAATAAAAAAGCTAAAATTCTTTTGCTGTTTGAAAACATTTTAATAAAGGCATAACTGAAGTTATTGCCTGGTACCAGAACCAGTGTCTTCTCCTTATTTTCATGGAAATTCTAATCTGAAGAAGCAAATCGTTTACCTTGGGATTTTCTTGCAGCTAGTCCTCTTCGATTTGTGACAGTAGAAGAACTTTTGGAGACAACAAAAGGAGTCACCAACATGGCTCTAGCCCATGAAATCGTGGTAAATGGAGACTTTCGGATTAAGCCAGTTGAACTACCAAAGGACAGGTAAGGTGGTTAGTGAGGTGTCTTGTTTAGCACAATGCTGTTATTTCCTGATTCTGGAAATGTTTCTTTCAGTTGATGCCAATCAAGTGCATCTTTCCTTTTATATTGTATTACTAAAATATTCTCAAACTAGGAATAACTAGACTTTGAAAGTGGATCTGAAGGCCACTGATGCTTCAAAATGCCAATAAAGGGTCTGAAAATCTGGAAAATCTTTGATGTAATCTCCCTGCTTGGTAGGATTTAGCTGCCTCATCTTGCTTTTTCATTGCATTGTTTCATTCACTTCTTTGTAACCATCCCATTGTATTGTAGCCCTTGGTTGACTTGCATTTTTCACTAGAATACATGAATACAAAGACTGTGATTTATTCTCAGTATCCCTAGTGACTGGCATATATCTTTTTTTTTTTTTTTTTGGTACTGGGGATTGAACTCGGGACCTGGTGCTTGTGAGGCAGGCGGTGAAACCACTGAGCTAAATCCCCAGCCCCATATGTCATTTCTTAAATATAAATCCCTATTGCTTATAAGGTGTGCCTTTCCATGTCACTGTAAAAATGCCACTGATTTTAAGAAAGATCTATATTTTAAAGATGTTAAAATGTGAAAAAAAAAAACTGTTTTGGAACCTAGGAAATACAGATGTAGCTGCCCTTATTTCAGCAATTTACTGATGTCATGACTCAGGATTGGTCTCTGTTGCTCTCTTGACCTGTTCCTAATGGTTGCAGAATGGGTTCTGCAGCTCCCAAGCATCTGCTGTACATCAGCATTCCAAGCAAAAGGGAAAATACTGGGTGGAATAGAACTCTCTCTTTGTTAGGAAGGAACATCTTTTTCTGGAGTCATGAAGCAGACTTTTTCTAATGTTTTGTTAATGAGATTTGGTCATATGCTACGGGGAATGGAATTGCCATGATGGTCTTATTAGATCAGTCATAACTGACTTTCATAGGCATTTGTTGCTCCCCTGTTAAACACTGACATTCTGTTAAAAAGGAGAAATGGCTGTTAGGTTGGCAAGCTCTAGTGTCTCCAATAGGAGGCATCTACATGTGGGTTTTTTTGTAGTTATTTTTGAGACAGGATCTCACTTTGCAGTTCAGGCTGGGCTTGAACTCACTATGTAGCTGAGGTTGGCCTCAAACTCGAGGCAATCTTCCTGCCTCCGCCTCCTGAGTTCTGGGATTATAGGTGTGCACCACCAAGCCCAGTAAACATATGGTTTTACATATATTTCTTATATATCTGCAAGGAGAGTATCTTTGCAATGAAGAATTGTCCTGGTGATATACCTCAGTTGTAGACTGTGTGCTTAGCAGTAGAGTGTATGCTTAGCCTGCACAAGGCCTTGGCTTCAATCCCTAGTACCACCACCAAAACAAAAAGCGAAGTACTTGTTCTTAGGACATGAAAGCTGGGTTTGTGTGTTTTTGGGGTTTTTTTGGTACCTGGGATTGAACTCAGGACCCTGCACTTGTGAGGCAGGCAGCAGCACCACTGAGCTAAATCCTCGGCCCGAACTAAAGTTCTTCCACGTGTTACATGCTGAATTATTCTACTTAATTATGCATATTTTAGGTAACATGCTCATAAGAGGGAAGTAAAATTTAACAGCCTTGAATTTCCCAGTAGTCTTTTTATCATATGCCATTGTTACATATTATTAATTGGACTAAATTTGGCCACTACATTAGTGGAAAGTTATTCTTTCTAATAAGGTACTTATTGAAAAAAAATAACTAAAAATAAAGTGTGTACTAGTTTAAGTATTTCTGGGAAATCTTTTCATGATTCTTACTGTTTTTAAGATTTATTACCCTAACCCATAGAGTTTGTGATTTTAAAAATTGATTTGAGGCCTGGGGATTTAGCTCAGTGGTTCTGGTGCCTGCCTCACAAGTGCAAAGTCCCGAGTTTGATCCCCGGTACCAAAAAAAAAAAATTTATTTGAGACCTTTTTTGCCCCCACCCCCCATTTCTCTAGCTTGGAGAAGAGAGTGAAGGAGATTGTACATAAAGCTTTTTGGGATTGCCTGAGTGTCCAGCTAAGTGAAAATCCCCCAACGTATGACCATGCCATCAAACTTGTGGGAGAAATCAAAGAGGTGAGCTGAGTAAATTGTGGAGAATTTTCCAGCCTCTTTGTATTACTGTTCCAGAAGACTTTAAAGAAATGGAAGGATCAAGAAGCTAAATTACTTGCAGAAATATGGATTATTTTTGGCTTAAAAACAATAAAAATTATTTTATAAAACAGGTTATTTATAAAATTTTAATAGGTATGGATATATTCTATTTATATTGGCTAAAGAGTGATTTGATCTTTGGGACAGAGGTTTTAGGTGTTGGACTTTTTTTAGCAATACCATTAGCCATAGTCTTGAAGAAGAAATGTATCTGTGGGAATTGGAACCAATAGTTGGCTCATAGGTTCACGTTAATAAATGCGTTCTCCTTTTTCCATCATCAACATTTGTTTCTTGTATCCAGGTGATTGGTACCTAGAGTTTAAATAGAAACTTCAGTAGCTAGTCTAAATGAACCTGTAAGGACATTTCTCTGTAGATTTGTTGAATGAGAGGTTAGAATATGTTCAGTCTTTCAGTGGCAGTTGGTTAAAGGTTTATTTGGATAGTTATACATTCTTTCTTGTATAATCCAAAACAAGGTTTGACCAAGAAACTGATTAAACTTAACTGTGCTCTCTTGTAGACACTTTTATCTTTCTTGCTGCCTGGTCACACTAGACTGAGAAACCAGATAACAGAAGTCTTGGATCTGGATCTAATAAAGCAGGAAGCAGAGAATGGAGCCCTAGACATTTCTAGGCTGGCAGAATTCATTATTGGCATGATGGGGACACTGTGTGCACCTGCTCGAGATGAGGAAGTTAAGAACCTAAAGGACATTAAGGAAATAGTGCCCCTTTTCAGGTATGGAAGTGTGTTCATTGAACTCAGTGAACCTAAATGCAAAACCTGTTTTCAGATTTAAACTTTCTGAAGTCTAGGTGCTTAGGTATTAAAAAAATATTTAAGAGGGCTGGGAATTTAGCTCAGTGGTTCTGCCGCCTGCCTTGCAGGCGCAAGGTCCTGAGTTCGATCCCTGGTACAAAAAAAAAAAATTTAAGCAAACATCTAAAATACTGAAAATTAGGAGGAAGAAATCACCCATAATTTTACCATATAAAACCCACAATCACTGTTTTCAATTTTTTTTTTTTAAATTCTAAGTCAGCATTCATGTATCCTTCATGTAGATCTACCAGTGTTTTCACATTTTGTCACAGTTGCTTTATCTTTTTATACATATATACATGAATGTACCTTTCCCCCAACCTTCTGAGGGTTATTGACAGACTTCGTGACATTTTACCCTTACGTATTTCAAGAACTACCTCCTAAGAATGTGGACATTCTTTCATTCACAGTATAGCCAAGATGTTAAAGAAATCTAACATTAATATCCTGTTAACATATACTCCATATTAACTTTGTTTTTGGTGGTGCCAGGGATTGAACCTAGGGCCTTGTGCATGCTAGGCAAGTGCTCTTCTACTGAGTTATGCCTCCAGCCCCCTGAATATTTAAAAAGTTCCTGATAAAGTTCCTGTAATTTTTATCCTAATATAGCTAGTGGAATAACAAGATGCTACTTGAGGATTATATTTTATTTGTTTTTTTAAGACATGGTCTCACTACATAGTTCAGGCTGGCCTTGAACTCACTGTGTAGCCTAGACTGGCCTGGAACTTGTAGCAGTCCTCCTGCCTCAGCCTCCCAACTGCTGGGACTACAGGAGTGTAGTCCACACCCAGCAAGAGAAGTTGATTTTTGGTTAACTGCTTAGCTTAGTTTTCTGTAAACACATAAAGATATTATCTATCAAAATGATTGTAGGCCACATTGCCTGCAGGGAAAGTGACCTCTGAGTCATACATGGCATCTGGACTGAAAGGAATAACGCACTGTAAATAAGGTATGGACCCCCAAACTTTGGGGTGACTTTTATGATGGGGCATGGCCCTCAGGGAATCCCTCAAAGGCATGATGTAGAGTAGTTATAAAGCATACTGGCTCCTGTGGGACCTGAGGCTTTTAAGCTGGACCACTGCACTTGGATGTGCCTGTCCCCACATCTGGGTGGTCTGCTCCTGGCTGTAACTGTGCTCTTGCTCAGAGGATGCTCGGTACCACCCTGCAGGCACTGAGTGACAAATGATGCCACACGGGTGGCCTCCACACTCGGGAGTCTGGATGTACAGTTGAACCTGAGGAGCCTCCCGGGTGGGCAGTGCAGGTCTGACTTTTTCTGTTCTAAATATTTAATTTACTTTTTATTGCAGGCTTTATTGATATAATAATATACTGACAAGGAACTGTAAGAAATATAGTACACTTTAGCAGTTTTCCCCCAATGGTAATGTTTTGGAAAGCTGCAGTGTACTATCACCACCAGGATATTGACATTGGTACAGTCCGCTAGTTGATGTAGACTTGCTGTTTTACTTGTACTTATTTGTATATGTATTTGTATGTACTTTCATACACTTTTATCATCAGTTTAAGTTCATGTTTCCCCTCCTACAGTCAAGATACTGAACAGTTTCAGCATCACAAGGTGTCCTTCATAATCATCTTATATGATTCCCCCCCCCTTTTTTTTTTGGTACAGGGGATTGAACTCAGGACTTCGCACTTACGAGGTAGGCAGCAGCACCACTGAGCTAAATCCCTGGCCCCATCTTATATGATTTTTAAAAACTATGCATAAGCATTTGCAGTGGCTGCAAAATATTTATTTGCATAGATAGAATTAATTTTCTCCCTTAGGAGGGACAAATAAATTAAATATAATTATCAGCTACTTAACCGTGCAGTGAATTCTTTGTGCACAAAACTTTTTTCTGTATTTTAGGTTATTTCCTAAAGATCAATTCTTTTTTATTTTTTATTTTTGGTACTGGGGGTGGAAGCCTGGAGTACTGTTCCACTGAGCTACATCTCAGTCCTTTTTATTTACTTATTTTTTATTTTGAGACAGGGTCTTGATAAATTGCTCATGTGGGACTCAAGCTTACAAACCTCCAACCTGAGCCTCCCTCAGTGCTTGTATTACAGGTGTGTTTTACCACAGCAGGCTCCAAACATGATTTTTTTTGTGTGTATGTGTGTGTGTGTGTGTGTGTGTGTATGTGTGTGTGTGTGGTACTGGGGATTGAGCCCAGGGCCTTCACTCTGAGCTCCATCCCCAGCCCTTTTTTATTTTTTGTTTTGAGATAGGGCCTCTCTCAGTGCGAAATTGCCTAGGCTGGGCTCAAACTTGTGATCCTTCTGCCTCAAGCCTCCCATAGTGCTGGGATTACACATGTTCACCACCACATGTGACTAACATTGCTTCTTGAAATAGGATTATCGTGTTAGGTCCTAAGCAGTTTTAGGACTCCATTGCATGTTACTTGTAAGTTGCTTTCCAAAAATTTTATGAGGAAAGAATTTTTTATTTCTGGTGTTCTTGATATTATAAAAGAGAACAGATAGCATATTCTCTCTCATGTCTACAGTACATAACAAAATGCTCTTGCCAGTTGAGGTGGCACACATCAGTAATCCCAGCACTCTTGAAGGCTGAGGCAGGAGAATAACAAGTTATAGCCCAGCCAATTTACCAACTTAGCAAGACCCTGGCTCAAACTATAGAATTATAAAAAGGGTTAGGGATATAACTCAGTGCAAAGGTTGGTTCAATCCTCAGTACTGGAGAAAAGGAAAAAAAAAAGAAGCCCTGCATTGCAAGGTTACTTCAGAGTTTAGAAAGAAAACTGAAAAGACCGCCTAAAAATAGTTACTGATTTTTTTCATTCACTTAGCAAGCTTTTTTTGAGCCCTCTTAAGCGCTAGACATGGTGTTGGACATTATTAATAAAATAATAAGGGTTTACAATCTAGCCAAGGTAAATGGGGAATTCCTTGGAGAAGTCCTTTGGGGAAATACCTTGTAGCAAAGTCAAATTCCCATTATCAAGTAAAGGAACTGCACCAGGCTTGGGAGCAAACACCTGTAATCCCAGCTACTCAGGAGGCTGAGGCAGGAAGATTGCAAATTTCAGGCCAGCCTGGGCAATTTAACAAAACTTTTAAAAAAATAAAATACAAAGGGCTGGGAATGTAGCTCTAAGGTAGAGCACTTGTCTGGCATGTGTAACGGTCTGGGTTCAATCCCCAATATGGCACACACACACACACACACACACAAAGACTAGGACAACACATGCCCTGTCTAAGGGAGCTAGCAATGGCTCTCAGTTCCAGTTGATTTGGGCCGTGATGGGAAGTAGGCCCAGGTCGTCTAATCTTTTGATTTTCCAAGAAAAATATAGTATGTGAAAGCAAAGACCAGGGTGGCAAGGTGCCTGCCCCTTGCCTTGCCTGTGGGCTCTGTCCTTGCTCTGTGGCTGCCTCGGGGGCTGCATTTTGCTCCACACTGCAGGAGTGGGTACCTGGTATTCTCTCTGGGCTGGAAGGCAGTGCGGGGATCTCAGGGGACGAGGGTGAGGTGAAGGGGAGGACAGAAAGCGGCTGAAAACTGCAGTCTTGAAATTATTACGTTAATGTTTGCGTTTTCTAAATTGGTTTTTCTTCATCTACTTTTCTCTTGACTTTGCAGACTTTTCTTGCTACCCCTTCTGAGATGAAAAGCTCACCTGTTTTCCTGAAATGCATACTTATGAGAGGCTCTTCTGAATGCCCTCTTTTCTTGCAGGGCAATGTTTGCTGTGCTGGACCTAATGAAGGTGGACATGGCCAATTTCGCTGTCACCAGCATCAGACCCCACCTCATGCAGCAGTCGGTTGAGTACGAGAGGAAGAAGTTTCAAGAACTGTTGGAGAAGCAGCCAGGTATGTTTCATGCTCTGGGGTGCTTTTTGTTGGTGGTGTTTTAGTTGGTGTTTTGTTTCATTTTAGTTGCTGTAGCTTGTTGCATAATGATACTTTTTTCAAAACAAAACTAAAACTATGGATGAGAATAGTCTCGTTTGGACAAGGACTGACAACAAGATATAAGACTACATCTAAATTGTTACACATTGAAAAAACACTTATGTAACCAGAGCAATGTGGGTAGAATGTGTGAGCAGGAATGAAAAAGTGAAGGTCCAAATTGAATGTTTGTTTGTTTTAAATGAAAATACTGGTGTGAGGTAAATTATATTCTTGGACTTGGTTTTAAAATCATGACAACCTTTTTATGAATGTTCATTCTTTTTTCTTTTCCTGTGAAAACAGGAAATTTCACTTTGCTTCTGTTCTTTTTTTGGGGGGTGGGAGTATTAGGGATTGAACCCAGGGCTTTCACTAAGTTGCTAAGTTCCCCAGTCTGGGCTTGAACTTGTGATCATCCTGCCTCAGCCTCCTCAGAGTGCTGGGATTCCAGGCATGTGCAACCACACCTGCTTTATTTCTGTTCAATATGCATAAATCTTCTGGTTTCACACCCAGGGCAAGTCTCATTTTTATGCACCTGTCAAGTGACTGCAGGAAAACAAATAACTATAGACTCTACAACTGTGTTATATTTCTAAGGTGCTGTTTTTGGTTGCTGTGTTGGCAGTTGATGTCCTGAGTAAACTTCAGTCTGCAGAGCCAGTTTACGATGAGATCTCAGTAGCTCCAGCTTTGCCGGCAGCAGGGTGCAGTCTGGGTACGCTGTGTGACTTGACCAGATGGGTTACCTCGGTGCCCCACACAGTTGATTCATCAGTCCCCAGACTGGCTGCTGGCTGCTGGGGCCAGGAGGAGTCAAGAAAGACCAGAGCAGAGGAGTGGAGAAGAGAGGATGATGCACCACACATTCAGCAGGCACTCAGTGTAGTTTCATGGGTGGAGAAACCTCGGGAGCAGCAGCAGGTCCTGGAAGCAGGGTGCAGTGAAGATCGCTGCTGAAGCGGAAGCACAGTGCAGTCCTTGGTCGGTTGGAGTCCAGAATGTCCACCACATGGAAGCTAAGGTTTCCAAGGCTAGTGGGCCTCAGAGAAAGCTTTCTGCTGAGGAAGATGGCTCAGAAGCTGGAACAGGGACTGCGGGTCTGGGTCCGTGTGCTGGCAGAGAAGAAAGGCGCATCCTCTGTGGCAGGGAGAGGTGGGCGGCAGCCATGACCTTGGTGCCCCTCCACTGGCCTAGCTGCAACTCCTCCAGGACCTGGCAGGTGCATTTTTTTTTTGCTCATAATGCGGACAAGATCCTCATGGTCTTTCCTCAGAGTATCTGCCACACTACTCAGCTTAGAGAAGCTCTTGGAGACCTGCCGGCAGATGACAGCCAGCTGAGGCTTCCCTGACTGCTTCCCATGCAGTGAGTGCCACATCCAACACCATGAGGCCCCAGTTAAACCAGGTCCACAGGAGAGGCTGCACTGCAAGGTGTCCTCTAGCTGGGCCTCATCCAGGAGTATCTGCCCTCACAGAGCCAGAGTCATCAGCATTTCTGGCCACCTCTCCTGCAGAGGTCAGGCCGGGGAGAACAGGGAAGGAAGGTTTGTGGAGCACCGTAGGTGGCAGGGCCTGGCCGGGTGCAGTGTCCCAGCCACCTGTGAGGTGGGTCTTATAAATTTCTTTACACCGGGAAACTAGTACTCAGGCAGCTGATGACTTACCTGACATGACTCAGTTAGTGATGGGCAGGACTGTAATTTAGACCAAGTTTTATTTGAGTTGGGAAGTTCATGAAGTTCATTCTCTATACTGTATTACACCACCAGGGCAGTCTTCCTCAAAGCAGTTCTGAGAAGCTGCTGCTTGGTGCCTAGTAATGTTTGCAGCTCTGTTTTACAGATTCCCTGGACTTCGTCACCCAGTGGCTAGAAGAAGCCTCTGCTGACCTCATGATTCAGAGGTACAAACACACCCTGCCAGCCAGCGGGGAGGCTGCCAGCTCCAAGGATGCCCTTGTTCCGAGTGCTGTCTCCATCCAGAACTACGCGTACCTGAAACTGCTGAAGTGGGACCACCTCCGCAGACCTTTCCCTGAGGTCAGTCCCCCTGGGGCCTCACTGAGCAGACTTCTCTGTGTACCGCTGAGCTTTTCTGAAAGAATAGCATTACTCGGATATAAATCACATGCCAAAAATTCCCCCTTCAAGCCTACAGCTCAGTGGTTTTTAGTATATAGGTAGAATAATGCAACCATTACCACTGTTTAATTTAGAACATTTTCATTACCCTGAAAAGAAACCCTATACCCTTCAGCAGTCATTGCCATTGCTCTGCTCCCTCCAACCCCTGCTTTCCGCCTTCATAGACTCTCTTGTCCTGGTCGTCTGATGTAAATGGACTCATGATATGGGCCTTTGGGGTCTGGCTTCTTTCATGAAGCATAATATTCATCTATGTTGTAGCATACATCAGGACTTCATTTTCCTTCGTATTTTTTAATGTAGTTAAATATGCATACCATAAAGCTACCATTTTAACTTTTTAAATATACAGTGGCATTAAATGGTAATTCCCTGGTGCACTACTGTAATCCTGGCATTTGGGACTCAGAGGCATGAGGATCGCTTTGAGTTCGAGGCCAGCCTGGACTACATGGTGAGACCCTGTCTCAAACAACCAACAAACAAATAGTAACAACAAAACCAAATCACAAACAGTAATTCCCTATTCCATGGCCCTGGCAACCATAGTTCTACTTGGAGACTACAGATTCGAGCACTATAGGTACTTTTATGTAAGTGGAATCATACAAGATTCATTCTTTTGTGCCTGGCTTATTGTCCAGCACAATATTCTCAAGGTTCATCCATGTTGTAGTGGGTGTCACCATCTCCTTCCTGGTGAAGGCTGAGTAATTTATTCCCTTGTGTGGATCAGTTGCTGGATATTTCTGTTGTTTCTACTTCAGACTACTGTGAAGTCCGCATTTGTGAACCTTCATGTACACCATTTTGTGTGGATGTACATTTTCATCTCATGGTTCCATACCTAGGATTAGAGTCATTCGGTGACAGGGTTACTCTAAGCTTACTGTTATGAGGAACCACCAAACTTATAAAGCACCACGTCACTTTACAATCCCCCCAGTGATGTATGATGCTTTCAATGTGTACTTAATTTTTTTTCCTGTTTTTATGCATCTTGACCAAAACCACAACAGTGGTGCTGCTTTACAGCTTTCTCTAAAGAAGCTTCTCCTTCCATGCTGAGCAATGTTCTTGTCTTTTTATGTATTTTGCAAGAAGTACATTCTACTGCAGTGTCTCTAAGGGAACACCAGCAAGGGAGTCCCCCAGTTTGTCTCTCAGTAGCTCATGTGGTGTCTGGCCTCCCCAGGTCACCAGCTCAGATGGCTGCTGTTGGGATTGATCCTTGGAAATCTGCCTCCTCAGCTCAAGTCCTGCACGCTGAGGCCAGAGAGCATAATGAAGTCAGGATGGTATAGCAGAGTGAGGTCAAAAAGGAGACGGACACTCAGTCCTTAAAGCAGATCTGTGCAATCTTAGAATTCAGAGACAGTTTTACCTGTGGAGTAGAAGTTTGGGCTCTGACCCCCAAAGTATTAATGTTTTAACTGGGTCCTCAGAATTCCAAGTGCAGAACCTGTAAGCACTTGGATCTGAAGTAGGTGGGCTCTCTGCTGCTCCTTCCCTCACCCTACTTGGGTCTTTGTCGTGCAGGACCCGGGCTGTGTCCACACAGGAGGCGCCATGGGTGTTCGCCAGGCGGCTGTCAGCCCTGCTCTGCAGACTTGCTCCTTTCCTTCCTCACTTCTTAGTCCCTGAGCGCCTCCATCTTGCATCCTGCTGGGAGATGCCAGGGCGTGAGGGTGGGCTCTGCCCTCATGGTTGGGTGGCTTGTTGGGAGCTGAAGAAGGTGCTTCACAGGACTTGGGGGTTTCCATTAGAAATGAGGACAGCTCCGCACACCAGGAGGAATTGGTCATCTCGGCCTTGTACCTCATTTCTCTTTCCTTTTTGATGCTGTAACATCTCTATCTGAGTTATCTATCCATCTATCTATGCAGTACTGGGGATTGAACCCAGGGCCTTTACACTGAGCTATGTCCCCAGCCCCTTCTTATTTTTTATTTTGAGACAAGATCCTGCTATGTTGCCTAGGCTGGGTTTGAACTTGAGATCCTCCTGACTCAGCTTCTGAGTGCTGGGATTACAGGCATGTGATACCACACCCAGCAACTTTTATTTATTGAGTGTTGGCTCTGCCCTCCATGCCACATGTATGATCTTTTTCATTTTTCTTTTTTTTTTTCTGGTACCAGGGATCAAACTCAGGACCTTGCACCTGCCAGGCAGGCACATTCTTTTTCATTTCTCAAAGATCCTTGAGAAGTAGGGTTACCCATTTTACATAGGCTGAGAGAGTTGAGGTCACTTTGCTGTGGATAACAGAGCCTGGATTTGCACCCAGTCTGCCTCAGATCCTACCTGAGTGTGCTTGTGGCCTCCTTTCTCAGGAAGAGGTTGCTGAGAGAAGAGGGTAGTGCCCAGCTTGGCTCACTGGCAGACAGTTCTGGGCCACGCCCTGCTGCCCCCTGCTGGCCACCCAAGTCTCAGCGCAGCGGTGCCCTCTGGTGTCGTTACAGACAGTGCTGATGGACCAGGCGCGTTTCCAAGAGCTCCAGGGGCAGCTAGAGCTGCTGACGGTCTTGGGGGCCGTGTTGCTGGTCACGTTCAGCATGTCGGGCCCTGGAGTCTCCAGCCGGGCTGACTTTGTTGAGAGACTCAAGACGATTGTGAAGGTCCTGCTGACTGACATGCACCTGCCGTGAGTGTGGGACTGGATGGGAGCAGATGGATGGGCAGGAGGCAGACTGGCGTGGCTCCCAGTGTCCAGCCACTGTTGGGAGCTGAAAAGAGAACTTGCTGTCTAACTCTGCTCACCTGCTACAGACCGAGCCGGGTTCACTCAGAGCTGTGGGGTCAGAGAGAGTCACTGTAGGGTTAGCGGGGCTCTAGGACAGTGGCTTTCAGATGTTTGTAATCAGGACCCATGCAAGAAATTCCGTTGTGACCTAGTACGATTTTGCACACATATGTAGCTGAAATGAAAGCCTCACAAGACGGAGCTTACCCTAAGTTCCACGTGTCTTGATCTTTTCTACCCTATTCTTATTCCGTTAAAAAATATACTCTGAATTGCTTTTGCAACCAACGAGCAGTAAAAAACAGAGCCCTGGAGCCAGGTGTAGTGGCATACACCTCTATGCCCAGCACGAGGCAGACTGAGGCAGGAGGGTTGCCATGAGTTTGAGGCTAGCCTGAGCCACATAGTGTGTTCAAAACCAGCCTGAACTATATAGTGAGACCCTGTCTAAAAAACAAAACAAAACAAAAAAACAGAGCCCTAGAGAAATCCAGGCGATCAGCAACCCACCTGAGAGTGGCCCACTGCCCCAGCTGGAGCCCTTGAAGGGGAAGTTCATAGAAGAGACGAGCTTAGGAGATTTGGTTCCCACCCGTTGCACATCCTCTTTAGGCATTCTGTGCTATGCCTCAACGCACCCCCATATTCTACAGCAGGTCGCATCTGTGTGTGCGCATTTTAGCAACTGCTATCAGCAAAGCCCTGTTGTGATTTATAGCACAAAGAATCTTTTGGGAAGTGTGTATATTACTGAGGATTGAATTCAGGGCCTTTGCACTGAACTGCATCCCTACCTCCCCACCAACTTTTTTTCTTTACTTTTTAGTTTGAAACAGGGTCTAAGTCACTGAGTTGCTTAGGCTGGGCTTGAACTTGTGATTCTCCTGCCTCACCCTCCCAGAGTGCTGGGAATACAGGTGTGCACCATCACACCCGGTTTAGAGAAGGTTTTTGAATGCTTCTACATAGACTTTGTGTCTGACAAGGCCCAGTTCTGAGGATTTTTCCAGGGAAGCACCCCCAAACCTCATGCTCACATGGAGGAACTTTCCTGTTGAGCTTACACAAAGTGTGGATGTGTCAGTGCAGCGAAGGCTGTGTCACACTAACATTATGACTAGGGGTTGCCGCAGCCTAGGAGGCTCTTTGCTCAGCTGAGGCCAGGCCTGAGGCCCTGGCCCTAGTGCAGCCCTGACCTGTCACCCAGGTCCCCTGCCGGTAGAATTGTGCTGCTGAAGCTCCCGATGAGAGGCCCAGGCCAGGGTCACCTGGAGCTGGCGTCAGCTGAGGCCCCTCGCTCTCCAGTCATTCCATGAAAGGATTAGATCCAGAACAAACCTTAATACTGGTACATACAAAATATACAATAGCCGTTATTAAAATAGCTGGAAATGAAATGATCTCGTAAAATACCTGCCAGCAGAAGGGCTCCCCACCGCTGCTAGAGAAGATGTTTCAAAACATCTTCACATGATGTTTCATGTGAAGATGTCACATGTTTCAAAAATGAAAAGTCCTAAAGGCTGTCCAGGGAAGTTTCTTTCCCACTTCTGCTTTCTTGTGTCTTCCTCCAGAGTGGTCTTGGTCTCAAGATCCACTGAAGTCCGTTCCCAGTTGGCAGCACACAGCTGTGGCACCGGGTGGTCTCCTGCAGTCCTTTCCTGTCCCCTTCAGTCCTTGGAGCAGAGGGAGGGAAAGGCCCCCACTGTCAGGTGTGCGCAGCTTCAGAGGAAAGGAGTAGAGAATACAGCCACAGGTTGCCCTTGGCACAGAGACTGCCAGTTGGTGGTGTGGCTCTGGTCTGGGGCTGGAACAGTTGGCACAGGACTGTGCTTACCGGCCCTTTCCTGCCGGCTCCCTTCTGCCTGTGTTCCAGCACCTTCCTCCTGGACGAGGCCCTGACCACCATTGGGGAGAAAGTGTGCCTGGAGCTGAGTGGCTGCCTTGCGCTGTGTGGGTCCCCCGCCTTCTCCATCGACAAGGAGACCGTGCTCAAGGGCCAGATCCAGGCCGTGGGCGGCCCTGACGACCCCGTCCGCAGGATCACGGGTGCGTGGGGAGCAAGGGTGCCACACAGGCGGGAGGGTCTGGTGGGATGACGGGTGCTGCTGGTTGAGGAGAGAGTGTGACTCATCATCACGGTGTGATCAGGATAACTGGAGGACTGGCAGGTGACCAGACAGACGTCACTGTCCTGAGGGTTCCAAGTTTGAAATCACAGGCCCTGGTTCAGATCCGGCCTGGAGCACTTCCCAAGGGACTTGGCAGGTGACTTGATGCTCTCTAGGGACAGTGCCAACAGGCTGTGGAAGTCTCTGGCCAGCAGCCTGTGTAAGACCTGTAAAGCGCACACTGGGCCTGGTGGCAGTGAGGACTCAGCAAATTGTAGCTGTTATTAACATAGCTGACAAACTTCAAATAAGCCAGAATAAAAGGTACTGTTAAAATATTATTAACTATTAGCCAGACACAGTGGCACATAGCTGAAGTCCTAGCTATTCAGGGGTCTGAGGCAGGAAGATTGCAAATTTGAGGCAACATAGACCCTGTGTCAAGACCCCCCAAAAGTAAATATTAATATTTAATATTATTAAAATTACATTAAATAGGGCCAGAGATTTAGCTCAGCAGTTTTGCCACCTGCCTTGCAAGCGCAAGGACCTGAGTTCGATCCCCGGTACCCCCCCCCAAAAATTAAATTATATTAAATATACTAAAGTACTACTATGAATGCATAAAGTATTAAAATATTTTAAACTAATATATTCAATAAAATATTTAAAATATTCTGTATTAGCTGTTTTCATCATTACAGTAGTAGCTGTATGAAAAATTCTGTTAGCTTTTATTTTTTGGAGACAGGTTCTCTGTGTATCTCAGGCTGGTGTGGAATTCCCTATTTAGTCCATTCTGGCCTCTAACTCAATTCTCCTTCCTTAGCCTCCTGAGTTTTGGGATTATAGGTGTGTGCCAGCATGCCTAGCTCCAAATTTAACCATTTTACAGTGTATATGTGTATCAAAACATTATGTTATACACTTAAATATATACAACTTTGTCAATTAGAAATGTGGAGAGGAGAAAATTTCTGTTCTCTGGTCAAGGAATGCAGTGTTTCATTTTTAAAATTCAAATTTTCCAGGTGTGGTGGTTCATGCCTGTAATCCCAGCACTCAGGAGGCTGAGGCAGGAGGATCACTGTAAATTTGAGGCCAGCATGAGCTACATAGTGAGTTCAAGGCTAATCTGGATTATAAGACCCTGTTTCCAAAAAAAAAAAAAAAAAAAATTCAGATTTAATTTTGAAGCCCTTACTCAAATTCTTTGAAAACAGGTATTAAACACATAAATAATGAAAAATTAGTACACTTCAGGCAGAAGCTGAGTGAACCATGGTTTTATATTTCAGCTTGGAGTAGAAGGCTAAAATGTGACTTTTTGTTAGGTAATACTTTATGAAAAAGTAATATGGATCAGTGTTGTTTTAAAAATTAAGATAATTTTAATTTTTATTTAATTAATTTTTTTTTTGGAGACAGGGTCTCACTATGTAGTTCAGGCTGGCTTTGAACTCACTATGTAGCTCAGGCTGGCCTGGAACTTGAATTTGCAGCAATCCTCCTGCCTCAGCCTCCTGAGCGCTAAGATTACAGGCATGCACCACCATGCCTGGCTTAAGATAATTTTTAAAATCTCACTTCATCCCAGCCCTCCATCGGTGACAGTTTAATCTGTGGGTCACTGAGGTAGCAGCTCCTGCAGACCCTACAAGGCCCTTGAATGAAGGTTGTGTTGACTCTGGCAGGAGCCTTGTGACTTCGAGCCTCTTGTTCATAGCTGGGTTCAGACATGGGGTAGGAGTGGTATGAGGAGCTGTACTTCTCCCCCTTGTGGTGGTGCAGGCCTGTAATCCCAGAATTTGGGAGGCTGAGGCAAGAGGTTTTCCTTGAGTGTAAGACCGGCATAGTGAGACCCTGTACCCCAAAATCAAAACCAAATCAAATCAAAAAAGGAGCTTCATTTCTGGCTGAGGCTTCTAGTTTTAGGAACCGGTGCAGGAATGGGTGTGCTGGACCCAGCCCCCAGGGCCTCTGACCATGTGTGCTGAGCTCAGTGAATGGTTGGCACCTGAGAGGAAACCCCAGAGCAGGCACAGGGCAGGTGGGTGAAGAATCTCATTCAGGCACGATCAAGGCACAGTACATGCATAGATGGAAATGTCACAGTGATACCCATGAAGTTGAACATTAATAGGTATTTGTAATAAAAAAGGAAACAAAGGATAAAAGTCAAGGATGCCAACATCAATATTTAATCATCTGCTCGCTTATCCAGAAAGAAGGGGAGATCAGTTACTACTGTACTTTGATTTTGTTCAACCCAATTACCATGTTACAAAAATAGCAAGCTGCCATAAAAAAAAAAAGGCTTCTCTCTCCAGCACCAGTTATCTGCAGTTCTTCACCTCCAGGCCTATAAACGCTATAACCATACCCAAAGAACATAAGGGAGCAAAGAAACCGTATCTGATGTATTAGCTGGGACCACTACATTGTTTAGGCTAAGCTATTCCTGTGTGGGGTTGTTTTCCTCCTACTTCTGGTGTTTCATCTAACCATAAAGATTTTTAGGTCTAAATTATATGCACTTAAGGGAGTATGTGCTCAGGGCCAGGGATTTAGCTCAGTGGTTTTGCTGCCTGCTGTGCAAGCACAAGGACCTGAGTTTGATCCCTGGTACCAAAAAAAGAAGGAGTATGTGCACATATCTGTTTATAAAATTCTGACTGAAGATGTATGGCCATCAACTAAGCGAATGTTATATAGTAAATGCAAGCTTACAAAGCCTAATATAACTGGTGCCAGGTACCACTACACTAACAGAATTTTGATGTTTTCTGGGTACTTTTCTTTTCTTTCTTTTTTTTTCTAATGGAGTGTGCTGGATGTCTCTATAATTTTGTTCAGATGACTGCAGAACCTGGAAAAGCTGTTGCTGCTATTGATGCATAACATACTGCTGTTATTGGTCTTTTTATATAAATATAAATATACATATATATAATTTGAATTTTTAGAAACTAACTGTACTGTCAACTTCAGAAAAAGTTATCTCAGTTTACTATGTTGAGTTGGCATTGTACAGAAATTAACAGCCATATTGGTCTAGAAACATTAAACTCAATTTTTTTTTCCATTTGTACAGGAGTAATGCACTGTATTAAATACGTAAATATGTATTATCTACATGGGTTTGATTACAGAAACTAATAAAGTATTCTCTAAATAATGAAAAAAAAAAAAGGAAAAAAAAAAGGGATAAAAGTCCCCATTGTTTTTGTAGTAAATCTGCAAGAAGGTGGATCCTTTCTGGCTGATGAGGCAACACAGAGAGGACAGAAGTGAGTACAGGGCCGGGGATTTAGCTCAGTGGTTTCGCTGCCTGCTGTGCAAGTGCAAGGACCCGAATTCAATCCCTGGTACCAAAAAAACCCCAAAAAACCCAGAAGTGGGTAGAGGAGGACAGGCTAACTCGGATGCCAAAATCCCAGTTGGACCAGTGGCCAAACTCCCACGACCTCCACGGCCTCCACTGTTGGCATCAGAGAAGGCACTTGGTGAGGATTCTCCCTGTGGAGTGTGTAGGAAGAGAGATCACAAATCAGTGGTGCTGGATCTTTTTTCTTTTTCTGAACTTATAATTCCTGCCTAGTTTTCCTTCTTTGTGTGCAGTCTCCATCGGAGGCCGAGGTTGGTCTTGGTCTGGCTACACCCTCCCTCCTTCCCTCTGCCCTGGGTGGTGGTGGGGGGAGTGTCATGGACAGCCCTGAGCTGGGTCCTGAGGAGGGAAGGGTGAGCAAGCTAAGTGCAGCTCCCACCTTCAGAGAGCTAAGGGGGAGGGGAGCACTGTGGCTGGGATGAATGTTCAGAAGTACAGGTGCTGAGTATCTGGTTTGGGCAGTGATGGGCAGGACTTCTCCAGAGAGGTGATGGCTAAGCTAAGAACTGAGGCGCAGTCAGAAGTTTGTAGTCACCTTGAACAAGGAACAGCTAATCACTTTTTTTTTTTTCCTTTTTTGCGGTACGAGGAATGGAACCCAGCGCCTCATACATGGGTGACAAATGCTCTACCACTGAGAGGCATCCCTAATCTGACTGACTAATCACGTTCTTTTCTATCCCAGAATCCCGAATCTTGACCTTCTTAGAAACCTACCTTGGCTCAGGTCACCAGAAGCCATTGCCCACAGTGCCTGGGGGACTGGGTCCAGTTCAAAAAGAGCTGGAGGAACTTGCTGTGAAATTTGTTCGCCTGGTCAACTATAACAAGATGGTCTTCTGCCCCTACTATGATGCAGTCCTCAGTAAGCTCCTCCTCCGGTCCTAAAGCGCAGGCACCCTCCAGCAGAAGTATTGGTCACCGGCCCCAGAACACCTGAGCTCAGTTCTACCATTGCTTTAGAAAATGGCTAAATAGTACAGTTCTGTCTAACAGCCTTGATTCGACAGGGAAGAATATTGTGTATCACCGGTGAAAAGACTCGTTGAAGAATGCACTGAATTCTATTTTGAGAGATTGTATTTATGAGTGCAAGTTTACAGATCAAAGAAGCTTTTTGTTATCTTGAGTTTTATAGGTAACACTCAGCTTTTTAGCAGTTGACCGCTGTGTCCCCATGTTACCCCATAGAGACTGCAGTGGCTGCGTCCTCCCAAGGAGGCTGGGACCCCTGCTCTGCTTGCTAGCTGGCTGGCCCATGCTGACTCCCACCAAGAGTACAAGAGACTAAGCCATGACTTTACTTCTTGCCCCTCCCTTGCAAGCCCCCTCTCCTCTTCTCTGCAGGTATTTATGATAGAAGGGCTGTATGTATAATGTTACTGCCCCACCTCACCCCAGTGGCTTCTGCCATACCTGGCCTAGCCAGGGCCCTGGAGCCCTTTTCTTTTAGAGCATAGACAAACTGGGGCATAGTGGCACGCCTGCAGTGCTGCAGTCCCAGCTACTTGGGAGGCTGAGGCAAGATGATGATTTGGGCCTAAGAGTTCAGAGCGAGCCTGGGCAATATAGAGACTCTGTCTAAAAGAAAAACTTATTCTTTTTTACAGTATTACTGTGCCTAAACCTGGATGATAGCAGTTTAGTCCTATGGGATCTAAAGAAAGGAATTTTATTTGTTAGCCTGGAAAGTTAAGGGGGAAATTTTAAAGATAGGTATTTATGTATGTATATATAAATAAATAAATAAACACACACACACACACACACACACACACACACACACACACGCACAGTTCAGTGTAATAGGAAATGTCTGGGGTTTTTAGGGCCGAGGATCCAGCTCAGTGGTGCTGCTCCTGCCTGGCAAGCATAAGGTCCTGAGATCCTGAGTTCAATTCCCAGTACCAAAAAAAAAAGTATAATATACAGATGTGTTGATTGAATTTGAATTCTGAAACTAGATTGAAGTATTTTTAGGTAAAATAGCTCAATCTCACTAATCTAGATGAAGTTTTAGAATAGTCCCTGGTATTTGGGTAGTAATTTTCAAGGAACTTCGGTGACTGGAATTACCAACATGCCCTGTGACTATAATTTGAGTCTTACAGGTGACCTGCTAAAAAAATAAATAAAATATGTATATATGTATGTGTGTTTTAGGCCAGGGATATAAGCAGAGCCATGGAGTCTTTGGAATGATCTCCACCTGTCAGAACTGTAAGGGGTAAAATAATGTGTTAATCCCTATATTAATGCCGATGGGCTGGGGTGAAAGGGTGAGGAACATTTATCCTCTGACTGTCCAAGGGTTCCTGGCTTGAGGAGAGTGAGTGGCTATGAGGGATGTGATCTCTCCAAATATGTGCTACTGACCTGACTCTAATGCTGCTTTTGACTTGTGGTCAGAGGGTATGACACATGATGTGGTCAGAAAGTCAATGAATTTAGACTCAAGGACAGATTTTCCCTGGTTTCTTTTTTTTTTTTTTTTGGTACCGGAGATCGAACTCGGGTCCTTGCACTTTCGCAGCAGGTGGCGAAACCACTGAGCTAAATACCCAGCCCTTTCCCTGGTTTCTTTAGGATGAAAGTTCAGTAAGAAAAACACAGATGCTCACTCAGCAGGACTGAGGGTATAGCTCAGTGGTGCAGCACGGACTGCTGGCCTAGTATGTGTGAAGTCTTGGATTTTGAGTCTCAGTATGGAAAACAGTCATTCAGTTAGAACAGCACATAAAGACTTTTGGACAAAAAAGTAGAAGAAACTTGGAAGTGATTTCAAAAGGTCCCAGGAAGACCAGAAGCTATTCCTGAGCAACCGGGGACAAGAGGCCACATTTCACTGTGGTGATTTTGGTTTTTTGTTTTGTTTTTTGAGGCAGGGTCTTCATATATAGTCCAGGCTGGTCTTGAACTCACAGTGTCACCCAGGCTGCCCTTGAAACTTGCAGCGGTTTCTCCTGATTCAGCCTCCTAAGGGCTAGGATTACAGGCCTGCACCACCACACCTGTCTGATTTTGGTTTTTGAAGGAAGACTAAAAGAGCTGGCTGGTTTGGCCTCTAGAGCATAGGTATTACAATAATGCAGGTCAAAGGGAAGAAAGGTACTCGGTGAAGTTTCAGACTAGGTAGTATCAGAATATGTTTTCCTTTGGTTAATGTTTGAATTGCTGTTGGTGCCAGGGTTTATACAGAGGACTTAGATCTGGTTGTAGGAATTCAGGGGGAGATTATGTGTAAGCAGATGAGCCATGAAATTACTTGCAATGTTAAAAAAAAAAAAAGTAGAGGCAGATAAGCTATATCTTTAGGTCCTTGGAGAATCTGGGGTCACTGTACACTGGCAGACAGGCCATAATTTAGGTGAAAGTATTTTTAAAGAAAAAAATCCATCCTTTATAATTACCTCAAGGTCACTTCTGGATCATTGCTTTGAGCCGGAGGTATGTTTGTGGTTATTAGCGAACAAATTGGGTTCTGGAGCCAAGAAGCCGGGTCACCCAGGGACAGCATGCTGCTGGCCCAAACCTCAGCACTGGGGGTGCTTGCTCCCCTCCAGGGTGGGCATGTCACCCACTGCAAAGGAGCAACAACACTTGGACTCCACCTCTCGAAGCACTCTTCCTAAATCTGAAACTCTTCTTAAGAGTTAATTCTTACAAGCCATTATTGCTCATGGGTTCCTAAATTGACAGCGCTGAGTTTGTTTGTTTGTTTATTTTTGGTACTGGGGATTGAACTTAGGACCTGGCACTTGTGAGGCAAGAGCGGTGCCACTGAGCTAAATCCGTGGCCTGACAGCCCTGAGTTTGGACAGTTTGAATCTTGATGCTCAGAGTAAGCAGCATCATGGACCCTCAGCCCAGGCCCATCTCTGTGCCCACTACTGGAGTTCCTCAGCCAGCATGAGCTAAGAATGAAGATTCTTGGAAACAATATGTAGAATCACAGTATTCGTGTTGAATTGTTTTGTTCTTGCTCTATGAAGATAAGTGAGCTAATTTTCTTTCTGGTCTCATAGCAATGTCACCAAGGGCCAGGAAAACCCACTTAGTTCATTTAGTCACTCAGGCAGTGTTATGAAGATGTACTTGAAACCTCCCCCTACAGCTCTCTCTCCAAGACAAACATCCTTTGGAGTAATCCTTCTTCTGAATTAAATTGGTTCTTGTACTTCGTAATAATGGGATTTGACTTGATTTCCTGCCTAAAAGGTTTGTGGAGACAAGTGTCTTTGCAGAGATTGTTGCTTGGGTGGCTCTGTACCACAGGTGGAGAGGGCTGGGTGCCTGGGGAGTCAGGTCAGGAACATGGGGCTCTCAGCTTCAATGAATGGAGGGCAGTAAAGAGCAGTAACTACTTCTTTGTTGGCTTTCATTTTGGTGATAGATTCTCAGTCTAGGCATTTGTAAAGTTCACTCCTCTTAAAGCAGGCTTCAAAATGTGATTTATGTATAACCATATAACTATAAATATACAACAGGTATGAACTGCACTGACAGGATATTTGCTAATTAAATGTGGTAGGTAGATGTATAAGAATTTTTTTTTCTATGAAGAAAAGTTATTAAAAGGCTTAAATAGGCATATTAAGATCCTTTGAATCAGGATCTTGTACACATTCCTGCTATTGCTGAATGTTAGACCTCAGAATTAAGAGACCTTAAAGATCATTACTGGTAAACTATTCTGTTGTGTTTTTTTTGGTACTGGAGATCGAACTTGGGTCCTTGTGCTTGCGCAGCAGGTGGTGAAACCACTGAGCTAAATCCCCGGCCCAGGGTAAACTATTCTGATTCAGTTCTGTTTTTTGGAGGTGCTGCAGTCATTTTCCTGGTGTTTCAAAGGAACTAGGTGTTTGCTCTTTGATTTCCAATGACCTTTTGACATGTTGTTTATAACACTGTGGGTTGTTTGTTTTTGAGGTAAGATGGTCGAGGAAAAAGACTGGGAGCTGTTCAAAGACCAGGAATCTTAGAGAGAGACACACACACACACACACCAGGGGTGTGATCGCTGTTTTGCACTAGCATTTCCGATACCTATGAAAGGAAATGACTGACTGGCCAGGTGTGGTGGAGCACACCTATAATTCCAGCATTCTGGGAGGCTGAGGTGGGAAGATTCGAAGTTCAAGCTCACCCTAGGAAATTTAGCAATTTAGCAAGATCTGGTCTTAAAATTTAGAAAGGAAGGGTGTGTGTGCGTGTGCGCGTGCGTGCGCTGTGGATGTAGCTCTTTGTGAAGGTCATGAGTTTAATCCCTAATACTTTAAAAAAAAGAAAAAGACTAATGACCTTTAAGGACCAATTCTAATATTCAGTAATATGTAGTAAAACTGTGCACAAGGTCTTGATTTAGAGGAAGATCTGGGTTTGAGTCCTTTTCCTTTGTTGTTTTCTTACCAGTTGTAGCTATTGGCCAAGTCCATTGGTGGCAAACCTGTGGCACACGTGCTGCTTGCATCATTGACAGCTCTGAAAGGTTCGCCATCCCTGGCCTAGTCATTCTCCTATAGCTTCTGTCTGTAAAATAGCAACACCACGGACACAGTTCACTGAATGTGGTAATGGATATTGGCACGCTTTGTACATAGAAAAGGGCTATGAATTGCTTTACCAACAGTAAAGGTGTGTGAGCCTGTGCCAGCAGGTGCACATCTGCTTCAGTGACAGATTCAGTGCCAGCCTCCCTTTAGCGGAGCAGGTTTTTTCCCTGTCCTCTCCCAAGCCTGTTGTTTACTTAATCATCTCTTCTGTACTGGATCTGTGATCTTACCTCTCCTGACCTCCTGACAGCCACCTCCATACCAGGAGTTTCTTCTCGTCTCTAATTCCTATATTAAGTATTTGAATGAATAAACAGATAAATGAATGGTAATGGTACTTAAAGGTACAGTCTCATGTAAAAACAACCAAAATAACAGTGACATTTGCAATTGTGTGTTTATATTGGGTTTTGTATTATGTAATTATTTTAATAGCCTTTTTACTCATAGTACTCAAAGCAACTTCATGGGGTAGGGAAGGACATAATGTTTAGTCAGAGTTAAGCTCTAAGCCATTTATTAACCTATCGGATGCTCACAGGTACATTTATAAATAGCCTGGGACCTAGGAAATAAGTGTCATTAGGCTAAACAATTTTATTTGTCATGTAGGGTTTTGTTATATCATCACACTTACATATATCACCTTCTGAACCTGAGACTCAGAACTGGGCTGTAGGCCTAGTTGATGGAGCACACCTGATTCTGAAATCATTCTTCTGGCACTGGTCAGATTTCACTTCCCTTAAGCCTAACCATTTCTAAGTTTGTTTTATCTGAACTAAACATTGAGAACTCCTAAATCCAACCTCTTGTTTAGAAAGTAACCTTAAAATTAAAGTAATACTCCTCTAGGTTTTTCCTCTTACTCATGTTGCCTTTGCTTTTTTTTTTTGGTACTGGGTATTGAACTCAGGACCTTGTGCTTACGAGGCAGGCGTCCATACCACTGAGCTAAATCCCTGGCCGTGTTGCCCTTCCTTTTTAAAGCACTTTCTTCCTGATGCTCAAAGAAGAACTTTCTTTTGTTTTCTGAGGCAGGGTCTTGCTATATAATTCATGCTGGCATGAAATTCACAACAGTCCTGTCTCAGCCTCCCACGTGCTGAGATTACAGGTGTGCACCACCATGGGCAAAGCAAAAAGGTCAGTGCTCAGACAAGGAAGAAAGTTTTGTAATCAGCTGAATTGTTTGTCTTTACTTTTGTTTCTGTGTTTTATTTTTGAGACAGGGTCTTGCTATATTGCCCAGGCTGGCTCAAGTGGTGCTTGTGCCTCAGCCTCCCAGAGTACTGGGATTATTGGCATGTCCTGCCATGCCCTCTTTATGTTGCTTTTTTTTTAGACAAGATCTCGCCTGGTCATTCACTCACTTTATAGCCTGGGCTGTAGCCTACATTGGTCTCGAACTTGCAGTGATCCTTCTGCCTCAGCCTCCCAAATGGTGGGATTACAGGTATGTGCCACCAAACCCAACATTTTTGAGAGATGAAAAATGAAATATCTCAATCTGCCTCAGATATTATTAGGGGAAATGCATTCTGTTTGAGTATTTCTGCAGTGTTTAATTTGCCTATTAAAAATGTCTTTCATGGACTGTGAGTGTTGAGCTCAGTGGTACAGTACTTGCGGATGGCCCCCAAAAAATCTGTATTAAAAAAGACCAGGAAAGGACATTCAAGTAAATGTATATACAGTAAATACAAGATGACTTTTTCTTGTATTGTTGATGCTTATTTAAATGGTATTGGCTGATTTATGGGCCAGGGATTTAGCTCAGTGGTTCTGCCACCTGCTTCACAAGCGCAAGGACCCAAGCTCAATCCCTGGTACCAAAAAAAAAAAAAAATGGTATTGGCTGATTTATATAAAGTAGCTATGGTAAATAAAATCTGAATGAAAGACACAGAAGGTGGCATGTTTTTGAGATCCTTTTATTTTTTAAAGGACTGTTTTAAAATTTTAAACTACAAAACAGACTTCATACATTCTGCCATAAATAAAAACAAACAATAAGGCAGGACTCTACATAAGCAAACTGAGAACTGTTTTTCAGAAAATGTGATAAAATGCTTTATAATCATAAGCCATCCAGTTTTTAAAATAAAACTGTGGAAAACTCACAAATCTTCAAGTGGCACAGACAATACACCCTTGAAGAGGGGACAAAATGTGGTTCTGCCATTTTGTACTGTTCTCACATTTTTGAAAACCTAATGTTGCTTAGAGCACAGGTCTGTTCCATATTCTAAAATTCACACAGGTTTTTTTCTCAAGAACCATATGATAGAGGCACCAATGACAGTACAACTTTGTTTCCAAGAACCTTGTAACAAAGTGTTGTCTCTTAAACATACGACTTCAGAGGCAAAAGGGAATCCTGTAAGTTTTCTCAGAGAGGCAGCTTCTGAGCCTGCCTCATCGGATTCGCTTCTGCTGCCGGGCTCTGTAAATGTCATGAACGGGGGGCACCACGGCTCCCTTTTCTTCATCTTCATCCGAATCCTCGTTGGGCCTTTTGACAGCCTTGGTGAGCACTGTGTTACTCTCTATGGGGCCATTGCCTTCCACAGCCAGCTCTGGGGCACCCCCAGTGATGATCCTCACAGCTTCCTCTACAGCTGGGGAAAAGAACAAAAAGGACATGGGAAGATGCTTAAAATTACGCTACTGTGAAAGAATGTGTGTGTTCTACTTTGGAGACTTTATAGCTCATCTCATAGCCTACCATTAGCAAAGCATGGGATACTAAATTAAAAGATAATACCTGCTGTTAAAACTAATACAATTATTTTCAGAAGCTGGATAGGATAGTGCTTGTTCACATAAATAGAAAAGCCTTTTAAAAATGTTTTTTTAAATGGTGGTACTGGGGATTTAACCTAAGGCCTTCACTGAGCTACATCCCCACCCCTTTTATTTTTATTTTGAGACAATCTCACTAAATCACTAAACTCCCTAGGTTGGGCTTGAACTTTTGATGCCCTGCCTCAGCTTTCCAGAGTGCTGGGATTTATAGGCATGTGCCACTACACCTGACTAAAGATAAGCTTCTATAATCAGTTCACTTTGTGGAATTACAGTATGAGCCAGCCTTTCTCTGATGAAAAGAGTTTGGCTCACTGCTGGGTTTCACTGTGCTTCTGCAAGTCGCTAGCTGGTTTGGGAGACTTTAGTGGCAAAGAATAACAATTTTTTCTGCCTAGGATACAATGATGTAAATTATACACTGAAAGTGGCACTTTCATTACTCACTATTTGGTATCTTGCATCTTCGGAAAATTTCCATCAGCTCATCCACTTGTACAAAAGGACCCTAATTTGAAACAAAATTTAGTCCTTGTTTATCTAATAAAATAACAGAAATTTTTGAGACAGGGTCTTGATAGCTCAGGCTGGCCTTGAATTCACTATGTAGTCCAGGCTGGCCTCAAACTCATGTGGTGGTCCTCCTGCCTCAGTCTCCCAGGTGCTGGGATTACAGGCATGGGCCACCACACCTGGCTAATGGCAGTACTTTTATGTTTCTTATTACACAAGAGAAAAAACACACAATTACTATAACCCTCACCTAGAGCCAGGACCTATCATGAAAATAGTAACAAACCTGGAAACAGATAGGAGGGGGGAGAAGTTTCATCAAAACAACAGCTGCAGGAGGCACGGGAAACACTCCACCAGGGACAGGGTGTAAACCTGGCGCTGTGAGAGAAAACGGAAGCGTGACTCAATGAATGGAGGAGTTTCTGTACAGGAAAAAGCTAAAGTTAAGTAACTTGTATATAATAGTTTTGTTTCTGTTGCTTTATTCAGGACATTTTTAATGCTTCCATGCTTTATGTGCTTAACCAGCTCACATGGGTGAGACTGAAAACTCTCAAGCCGATGGCCACTAAGAAGCAGAAAAGTAGATGAGACTTTGTGTGAGGCAAAGCAGTGGCTGCACTAGAGCAAGTTTTTGGTGAGGACTGTTTCTCAGCTGCACATGCCATTTGTTTAGGAATCTTGTTTCGTTGTTTGAGTACTGGGGATTGAACCCAGGGCCTTCACACTGAGCTACATCCCCAGCTTCCCCCCTTTTAAATTTTAATTTAATTTTTGGTTTCTTTTGAGACAAGGTCTCACTATTTAGTTTAGGCTGACATTGAACTTACTACGTAGCCCAGGCTGGCCTCAAACTCATGGGGATCCTCCTGTCTCAGCCTCCTGAGTGCTGGTAGTGGCACCATGCCTGGCTCCTTTTTTATTTTTTGAGACAGGTCTCATTAAGTCAAAAGGTGCCCAAGCTGGGCTCAAACTGCTTGGTTTAAAAATCCTGCTTAAACTCAGTTATTTAACAGCACATTTAATCAGAAGACCTCAGTTCAAAAAGGATCTCAATGGGCTACTAACCATTAGTATTTATAAACTTAATACCAAATAATATCACTGAAGTAAATTTCTAACTGTTCAAGTATAGTAACTACACATAGCAGCAATTCTGAAAACAGTCCAAGTATCACCTCCAAAATGGTGACTAGAATATGGACCAATGAGAGTTTTGTGTTTTAGGACATTCTCAGCACATCTGGTTCAAAGATTACTGCCAAGTCACTTGTCACAGTGACCCTAAGTCTAATAACCTACAATGGAAAGGCCATATTACTCCCCCGCCCCCACCTTGGAATTAAATCAACAAACCGAAACCTCGGTACTGATCTGAAGTTGTGGCTTACGTGCTAAATGTCGTGGCTGAAATGGAATCATCTGCTGGGTGTCTGGTTTAGGGTACTCTGGTTTTCTATCCACTTCATCTTTCAGAACAGGCACTATGGAAGGAGCTACAACTGGGTCTGGAATTATAGCTGCTAGCTTAGCACGGGAGACATCCTGAAAATGCAGAACAGAAGAATCCTAAACCTGAAAAAGGGTCTTACAGAGTATAATTGTGCAGTTGTACAATCTTGAAGATACAGTGAGAATAACTAGGTTAAACCCTCAGAAAGAGAATGAAGAAGGATGAGCAACACCTGTGATGGTCTTGCTCAAGATAAAGACTTGGTGTTTTATAATCTCATCCCAGCCCCAGCTAAGAATCACTGGACTGTTAGCAGGTGGGACCTTTGTAGGACAGATACAAACTTTGGGGGGAAAAAATCAACACTGGGCCCTACCCTCTAGGTAGGGTGATTTAGAGAAAAACTTAAGATTTCTAGGTGTGCTTTTGTTTTGTTGTCTTTTGTTTTTGGTACCAGGGATCGAACTTGGGGCCTTGCACTTTCAAGGCAGGAGCCGGGACCTCTGAGCTAAATCCCCGGCCCCTAGGTGCTCTTTTGATGCTTCCCTTCCACTGGCATTGAATGGCATGTGTCAGTTTCTTTATGTGAAGAAGCTGGACTAAGTGAGGTCCTGCTTCGTGAGGGCTAACTAAGGTTCACAGGTCCTACACTAGTTAATAAGAGTTTACTAATGAAGTGAAAAAGGATTCCCAAAATACTGTTATGGGAGAAAAGGAACATATATTGAGTAGCCACTATTGGTTGGGCAATTTTAGTCATTTACTGTATTCCTTCTTTGTTGAGGCAGACAGTAACATCTCCATTTTATACATGGGACTGAAGAGGGTCACATAGCTCATAAGAAGGAGAAAGGATTGGGAGCCCAACCTCAAACCAGTCCAGAATCTACTTTTCAATATATTAGCAGTATCTGCCATGGCTGACAAATCTCCAAGGTTTATCAGAGGAACACTACAGTCACTGCTAACAGAGCCCTTATTTTATTTTCTCAAATATAGTTAGCCATATCTGGTATTGTGGGGTAAATCTGAGTGAGCAGGCACATTGGGAATTGCTTTTATCTGTCTCACACATACACACCACACCACCCAACCCACAAAGGGAGGCAGCCTAATTCTTCCTGAATAAGCACAAGGTAGAAATATAAATACAAGGTGAAAAATACCTATTCAAGACATAGTTGTACTTGGAAATAACAAACCTTTATTTTCATTAACCTTTTTTTTTTTTTGGTACCGGGAATCGAACTTGGGTCCTTGCACTTGTGAGGCAGGGGGTGGCACCACTGAGCTAAATCCCTGGCCCTATTTTCATTAACCTTAATTTCTACTTTTATCTTGGAAATCTTTAGCCTTTTCTAATTATTCCACAAAACAGTCTTAAGATGTCTGGCTTTTCACTGAGAAGTAGACACTGCTCATTTTTAAGCAGTAACTCCCTGAATACTAGAAATTCCTTGGTTCAGAATAGGAATCTAGGACTGAAATAGAACTGGAGTTTTTATTAAGGAAAAAATGTCTGAAGTTAAATTATGAGTAGATTCTCTAAGGGTTTTTTGCTTTGTATTTATTTATTTATGTTTGTTTGTTTTTGGCTTTTTGAGACAGGGTCTCAACTGTGTAGTTCAGCTGGACTTGAACTCACTATGTAACCCAGGCTGCCCTTGAACTCCCAGCGCAATCTTCCTGCCTCAGCCTCCTGAGTGCTGGCATATAGGTGTGTGCCACCACACCCAGCTTCTAAGTTTTTAATATACTTTAGACACAGACACAGGCCAATAGAGAGCAGTGAGGAAAACAAGAATGATGGTCAAGGACATACTAATGCTAGCTGGCACATATATTTTCCTTTGGATTTCCATTATGGCCTTTGTTTACATGAGACAGAAATACCAAGAAATAATAGAACAGTGGTTTTCTCAGCAAGAGCTATTTCTGTGGAGTTTGGAAAACATTAATCTTTCCCCCTGGCCTGACCAGATTTATCTTCTTATGACTCAATAGTCTCAGTAGAAGAGTCTCATTCCTACAAAAGTGAACTACATATGGCTTAAGATCTGTCCATATATGTTTATCAACTTGATAAAAATTATTGGAAAAAAATAAGATGATATACACTTTTTAAAAAAAATTTTCTTCTTACTATACCCTTTCCATATGCCAAGTGGACATAAGACATTAAGTTTCAGAGACAGAAGGAAAGTGCTAGATCTTATTTTAATTTTCATTTTGGTCAGATACTTTTTATACTCAGTGCTTCATAAACCAAGGAAAATCATATTT